GAGGTGGGGGCCAAGGAAATTGGGGGATCTTTTCTTTATTCTGCTGATGGGCCGGATCTAAGTCTGTCGTCTATGACTTTCTTTTCTTTTCTTTTGCATATCAAGATTCTCCAAGGTCGTGCTCTGGTGATAAGTCCACTGAAGGACAGAACGCAGAGACTGCTTCTACGCTTTCTCAAGCCTGACGGCTGGATTCGATTCAATAAAGTTGAGATCAACTTTATGTCCCAGCAGTGCTCGAATATTATTCACGCCGTACCTACCCACCCCCCGTCAGCAGTCAAAGGCAATCAGGAAGAACTGAACAGACTCACTTGATCATAGTCGGCCTCTCCAGACTCAAGCCCCACCCATAAACCCTCAGATCCTCCAGCAGACCCATCGGCAACAACATTTCCGGCCTGAACATGCCACTATTTCCAATCTCCACCCACTTCTTCAACCCCTCGTGCCAGCTGAAGATCTCCAGACTCGGCTCCGTATACGGATTATACGCCGGTTTGAACCTCAAATTCACGATCCCCATCTTCTTGAAGAAGACCTCCATGAAGCCAATCAAGCCGCCAAGGGTCAGACCGAAGTCGGCGATCACGCCTTCGACTTGGTGGAACTCGGCGAGATGGGTTTGATCCACGGTCTCATTGCGGAAGACACGGTCTATGGAGAAGTAGCGGGCCGGCCGGGGGTCCTGAGCGAGTTTGTGAAGCATCCAGGTTGAGATGGCGGTGGTGTGGGTGCGAAGAACGAGTTTGAGAGACTCGTCTTCGGACCAGGGGTAGCGGTAGCCGATTGAACCGTATTTACCGTCTTGATGGACGGCACGGACATCGTCCCAGTATTTCCTATAGTCCAGACTTCGGGAGGGTGTTTTCGAGTCTGTGGGATTCGAGGTCGAGGGGAGGGTAGTATCGGTTGAGGACGAGGAAGGTGGATCTTCTCGAGGTGGATCTGCTCGAGGAGGGTCGGAGATATAAAACGTGTCTTGTAGATCGCGAGCTGGATGTTGTTGAGGGACGAAGAGCGCGTCGAAGTTCCAAAAGCCGGTTTCAACATATCGGTTGGTTGGCATCTCCTCGAAACCCATTTCAAAGAAGATTTGCCGGAATTCGTGTCGGACTTTGTTCAGAGGATGAAGGGCACCAGATGGTGTGGGAGCACCTTTCGCCTTGAAGTTGTATGGTTTTAATTTGACAGTCTTCCAAGCACCGCTGGCGAGCATGTCTGCCGTTAGATCGGTCTCTTCCTTGACGAATTGATTCGAGTATTTGGGACCTCTGGATATCTTGTACGTAGAGACCTTATGTAGGGAGATGAGCTTCCGCTTCCGCAGCTCAACAATCACCTTGGTATCCGCGTATGACTTGGTAGACCTGATAGTTTGTAGCTGGTCCCTAACTGTGTCTGTGATGGAATCTTTCGCGGCTTTCAACACGTCCTTATCCTTCTCTATCCATTTCAGCTTGAACGCCGTCCCTTGGCCGACTTTGGCAGCCTCGGCGCCGACAATTGTCGGCAGGTCTTTGATCTTCAGTCCCTCCAGGGCGGATCTGACAGCTTCAAACACGCGAGCTTCGTGGCTGCCATTTTCAGCAATCCCTTCGCCTTCTGGCGTCAGGTGTACTTCTTCTGTGTCGAGCTTCTCATATTCCACCATCTCTCGAGAACCCAGCCTGTCCAGGGTCGCTTTGATGACCTCGGGTGGATGTGAAGGGAAGGCATCCTGGGAGAAGATGGGTGCTTCGGCTGTAGCGAGGGCAGACAAGACCTCCGCCGTGAGGTCTGTCGCCATGGTCAAGATCGATCGCGGCGCTCAAGCTTCTATCTTCCCAGGAACGGCAAGTTGTGTGCTTTTCGACTTCTATCGGGGGGAGTATGAGTCAATCGACAGAGTACATTAAGGTTGGGAGAGCTCTCTGGAAAATATTCGGTGTGTCACAGAAGCTAACAGTGCATTGAGGCCTATTGGGGAAAAATTGCTTACTCGCTTACTTACAATCAAAACCTGCCGCAAAACAACACACGCTCAATCGTAAAGTATGGTTGACTCTGGGGTGCTATTTCAGTGGATCTCCTAAGAAAGCCTCTGATGCTCGTTGGACTACCATTTCACCATCATCGCTGTCTTGCAAGCATGTCTTGAGATCTCAGTCTTACCTCCAAGGCAAGGATTTCTTCTTTACCGCGTTACGCTGTCTTCTTTGCATTGCTATCAAAATCCCCACTGCATTTCCTGCGAAACGTGCTTTGATTCCCGTCAAGGAAACATTTCCTGTGGCTATTGATGGCTGAGTATTGGCCGATATGCTGCAGGTTCCTCTTCCATGATCGCATTCTCCTTTCTCCCGTCACTTGTATTTGGCAGGTAAAGAGCTCTCGTTACTTCATGTTCAAAGGAGGTAGTGACGGAGTACGTGCCTCAAGCTACCGTCGAAGGACAAGTTTAGGGCAGAAGTTACATTGATGAGCGAACTTCCTTTCTCTTTTCCTCTTCCTCTTCCTCCTGTCAGCAAATTCGTAGATAGGGCTGTTACATTGGTTTCTACCTATTCGATGGTTTTTTCAGGCCATGCTAGAGGATACTGCCTCTCTCAGTGCCAACATCTCTAGCCATGGAGCCTGTCAGAATGTCATTCGAAACCCTGCTTTCTACGCCAAATTCAAATCATCTGGATATGGATAGCTCAGAAAAAACCTTACATTGTCTACGAAGACCTCGCTTGGCCATACTTTTTGTGAATATTGTGGTGGAGGGACCTCTCCCAATATGAGTCCTCTCAATATTCAAGTTCAAATATGAATGCGAACATATTTCGGTCCAGATATTTTAGCCGCCGCCACCTCCTCCTCCGCCACAACCGCCGCCGCCTCCTCCACTGCTTCCTCCACTGCTTCCTCCACTGCTACCTCCACTGCTTCCTCCACAACCACCCGCCGATGTGCCTCCACCACAAGCACTTGCCGAACCACATCCTCCAAAAGATACAGAACCACCACAAGCACCTGCGACACAATTGCCGCTGGCACCAACGCTGGTATTTATACAGCTCGGATTGGATGAATACATTGTGCCAGTGATGCAAGGATCCGCGGTGTAGGGAGCATACGTGGGCATGTACATTGGATAGCCCCATACATATGTCAATGCATAGTCGTGCTTGGTGGGAGGTTTCTTGCCTGCGCCTCGTGCTTTATTTACCGCTCTCATGTAGGCAGCGTCCAACTTCATCTGCTGTTTGGCGGCGATTTTGGCACCTACCAACGACTGCTCACGTACCGCATTGTGGGCGCTGATGTGCGGGCTCCTTCTTGGGTCGCCAGATACGTCATCTCTGTCGTGAAGTTGAAGAGCCCGGGATTTGGCTGTACTCGTCTCGGCAGACGAGAATATGGATTGGTTGTTGTGGGTCTCACGGACGGCTTCGCAATACCAGCATGTGCATTCGGAGTAGATCTGACCGCCGGTGAGCTTCTGATAGCGTTTGCTGGTCCACTCAAAGGCGGCGGAGAGTTTGTTCTCGTCGATCTTATCATCGTGGTCGATGAAGTTGTCACCCATAACATTCAAAGAATAAGCATAGTAAGCCGGCGGGTTCAATTGGTGCGTGTGCCATGCAAGATCAATGTCCAATGTCGGAACGGCGACCTTGCCAGGGTTCTCGGCCATGATCTGGAAGAAGACAGCGTACTTTTTGAGCAGACGGGTTATGGTGGATTCGAGAGCAGGCGAGTGGATCCAATCGATGCTCTTCATTTTATCGATGAAGACACCCTGGCGAAGAACGGCGCCAACCAGATCGAGGGCGAAAGGTGACGAATTCTCCCAGTACCTTGACATCATGCGCCGTATGGAGACCTTCTGATCGAACTCTAGCTTTCTAGAGGCGAAGCCTGAGTTCTTGGCCTCAGAGACGAGCTGGCGGCTCTTGAGTGCTTTCTCGATCGCGGTACGGACAGCTGTTACTTTTTGACTGTTGAGTCTTGGGGGATAGGTTATGGAGTTCAGTTCTGTCCCCAGACCGGCGAGAATGAGGCGATTCGGAAAGAGTACATCGTCCTTCTTCGGTGCGACTGATGTAGCCGCTTTAAGTGTACCTTTCACAGACAAGATCGTACCTGGAAGAGGGAGATCAAGCTTCTGCAAGCTTTCGATATCGCGACGCAACTTGAGCAGGCGTAAAGTTTCGTGGGTGATGGTGAGGCTACAAGGTCTGCAGTCAACGTGAAAGCACTTATCTGCAAGACCCCGACCCAATTCGAATGCACGTTCAATGGTCGCTCCCATGTAATTGTCAGTCCAGAAACAATTCAGAGTCGAGCCGCAACTTGGACAGAGTATCTGCTTCGCTGGAGGGTCATGCACATTTTCCCAGGCTCGAGATGTAGCTGCTTCGAACGTGGCAATGGACTCTGCTTTGGGTGTGTATAGGAAGGTTTCGGCATCGATGCAAGCATTCACCTCGTTCCAAGGAAAGCCTGCGTGCCACAGCATCATTTTGTTCTGGCGAATACAGTCCTCGAGAAAGTCGCGAGGATTCAGCATGAAGCTGTGAAGGACCATCAAGACGTCGAGCGGAGGCATGAATTCGGCTTTCCAGATGAGCTTCTCATGTCCAGCGTCGACCAAGGCTTCAAATTGCTTCCCATTGACAACATCCTTCATCCGTAGGCTCCCACCCTGACCAGACCCGACCGCAGAGGTGGGTAGCAGGTTGAACCAACTTTCGAACCGATCGACGGCCCTTGCAACGTACACGGCCCATCGTTTTTCACGTATCTTGGTCATTGCCCGTTCCTTCTCGGTACGAAAGATCTCAGCCTGGGCATCACGGATACCAAATAATTCGTCAGATTCCGAGACATCTTCACGAAGGATAGTAAGGGCAGTCAGAAACTTCAAGTGGGCAATACACTCGTCGTTTGACGGTTCGATTGTGGTCGTCGAGGTGTTCTCTGGGGAGAGGTCAAGCTTTCGAAGTGATGCGGTGAGCTGCTGAGCCGATGCATCCTCAACCGGATATGTCGGAGGCGGCGTTATGTCTCTAGCCTCTTGGGAGTCTGTGTCTTTTTCGACTTTGGCCGCCAAGGACTTGACCTGGGAGACAGGGCCCATATTGGGTGAAGCCCTGGTCAGGATCGGGAAAAGATTTCTCTTCTGGGAGTGTGTGATGATGGATTACACTTTGAATTATGTTCTCATGAATTCTCACAAGACGATCAAGAGTGGGAAAAGGCTGATATGCAGACAGCGAGGATATAAATACAAAGTAATTGAGGCTGTGGTTTAAGGACCCGTGTGATACTCACCACACCCTCTGCAGATGGCGAAAGGCATATACGACGCTGAAATGGATGAAGGATCATTTTTGGATCCCATGACCCAGTGACTGTAAATACGCCCTACTTCGATCAACGCTATTCGAGACGAGATGTTGGAGGTGGTCGATCAGGCATACTACGGACAGAACTGGGCGAAGCAAGTGATAGCAGTACGTAGTACGGAGTACACGGTACACAAACTGACGCTAGAAGCTTTGGAAGGACGTCTAAGCCCCATCGAAGAAGCCCTAATTATGTGTTACTTACGAGCAAGAAAGCCGTGCTAAGACGATAAGCTTCTCGGGTTAGTGGTAAGTTAGCAGGGGGCTATTTCAGGAGCCAACACGACATCCCGACCACGCGTTATCCAGGCACTCCTCTCAGCATTGTCATCGTGAAGACTCAGTGCTTTGAGGCATCGTGATCTACCTGATTTCGTGCTCACAATCAAGCTGCTAAAGTGGAGCGTCAGACCCAGCGCCCTGCGTCAAATGTAATAGAGCTCGAAAACTACCAAGCATGATAGCGCAAATACGAGCCTGGGCGCAAATAGTTGTTTTATTTACATCTTCAATAATGCCGAAACTAATTCCACAGAGGGCAAGTTCTCTAATCTTTGCAGAGTGTCTTGTAAAAAGAGAACATCTTTGGCGTTCCTGCGAACTTCGTCACTCGGGGGAAACAGTCATCAGACGACCCTTCATCGGGACGAGCATTTTCTATATATTGCTCTAACCTCAACAGCCAGCCCAAGCTTTTCTAGTTGTGAAGCTCACTCCGCTTGATGATGGTAAGGAGATGAGGATTCCGACCCAAGTCATGAGCCCCTGTCTGGACGTGGCCATGCAGAAGGATCGAATCGACTACACCTCCACCCAGCTACTCTTGTACCTGCGTGACAGACCATGCAGCAGTGTCCCTGTGTGGACCCTGTCGCGAAGCACACAATGCGATATTCAAGGAGGCCGGTCGACTCGAGGCACTGACGGCACCAGAGTCTATGGAGTTCATCATGGAGGACACTCATTTTCTCAGATCCCCACGTTATGGGACGGCACGTGGAATCCTGTAGCACATGCGAAAAGACTTGGAAGACTCCGCACAGCAACTCTTCTCAACACGTGGGACCTATCCATGCTATCGATGAGGCCGCGTAGATGTTTCAGTGTATTGTCTGCCACGGCGGCGTCCTTGGTAAGGTTCCTCATTTGACCCGACAGAGATGGCGAACAATCCCGCTTCGGAGCCGGACGCCAAATCAAAAACAACCAGTCTGCCGTGGGTCGAAATATGTTGATATTTTCCGGAGGCTTCAGGTGACCATTCGGCGGACAACAGCGGGCAATGAATTTTTTTTCTCTTCCGGTTACTTACTCAGAGAACGATAATTTAGAGGACCGGATATTTCTAGGTGTAATACCTCTTGGAGTTAGGCCGCTATCTATCAAATAGCCATCATTTTTTTCTCCCAATATCCAACAGGTCACTTATACACGTCCGGCGTCTCCCACAGGAGAATTTGGCGAATATTCGAGTAGGCTTGAGGAGACAAGGGAGCGTGAGGGTCGATATTATCTATGATGTGCGTGTGTGTGCTATTCTGTAATGAAAGTAAAAGGTGATTCTGATCTGGGTTATCCCATTTCTTGTCTTTTTTTTTCTCGAAGGAGATATATTGGCCAGAAACGATATGGCCAGAGAAAGAGAACCCCTTTGGAGGAGTGAGACAGTGAGAATAACGCCGCCAGGGAATCAAAGGGAGAAGGGAAAAAAAGGGGGAAATGGTCTTTGGTTAGGAATTATACAAATATAAGGGATACGATACTGGTATCTGATTCTGATATTTCTCGCTCAGAGCAGAAGTTTTCCTCTCGTCTTGATACAGTGTATATATATGCCATGAACGTGCCGTGATCATAGCCCATGACCTAACCGCCTCCTGGAGGAACAATATATACATATATACATTCATGCATCAACCGCACCGCCCCCGTCAAGCAGCCGACCCCGCTGCGTACACGCGTCCATCAACAACCTGACTCCCCCCAATCTTCACCAACTCGTCCGTCGTCTTACCCGAGTACAATCCCCTCCCGTTCTCATCTTTGGGTTCGGGAACACCCTTGCGCTCTTTCCAGCGTTGGGATAGGGATTGTTTTTTTGGTGGTTGTTTGTGTTCTTTCTGAGGGGGAAGGGTGTGGGTAAAGGTTGATTGGAAGCCGTTTTTGGTTGGGTTTTGGTTTGAGGGGAGGTGGGAGTCGGTTGTTGTTGTGGTGGTGTTGATGGGTTGAGGAGCGGAAGAGGAGGCGGAAGATCTCTCAGATTTGGAAGGATTGGGAGGAAGAGGAGGGGAGCTGAGGTCGGTTATTTCGTCGCCTTTGAGTTTTGAGCTGCCGCAGCCCATTTTCAGGGTTCTGTACAGGGGAGCTGCGGGATTTAATCGCGAGGTTATGCGGCCTCTCAGGTGAGAATGGCAATTGGCAAATGAGGACGGGCAGTTGTGTATGTGCTGCAGGACTTGCGCAATGTGACTTCCGGGCGACGAATTAAGATCTGTATGCTAGACTCTCTTTGGGAGGATGATGCTTTCTATCCGTTCGGCGTGAGACTATGTTGGCTTCTGAAGTACAGAGAGGAATGGACAGGAAGGGAAACCACTCCTACAGATCAGGCAGTCTGGCTGAAATGGAATGGGGCGCGAGCATCCATCCCTCCCTTACTCAAGGGTGGCTGTGCTCTCCAAAATAGCCATTCCGTTTTCTGCTGCGTCGACCGATTTCCCGTGCTTCGTGCACAGGTGATCCGGGGTGTGGGTACTGACGCACATGCCCCCGACCACCCCCGGATGCACGATGCAAAATGCAGCCTTCCCCGCCTTCAGCATCAGCGTGGCTTTGTGCTTCCGACTGTCGGGAACCAACGCGCTGTAGTTATGGCGACTCCAAAAGGTGCATTGGGATGAGTGCAGACAATGACGGCTGACTAAACATTATTTATAGTGGTGCCAGGTATGGCAAGCGTCTTCATTTGGAAGAAGTATTGACAGGGATGGTGAGTTGACGACATTCCAGCACATTCACCGGGTGACTTAATTGCGGTCTGCTATACAGACTGGGATCGGATCTTCTCGCTGTGGAATAAGTTGGTTCATTACATGGGCGAGTGGGAGACAGCCGCACGATAAGTAACACTCTAAATCCTCGGGTTCAACAGCAAAAATTCGACAATATCTGTGTTCTCCTGTTATCCACCTTTCCGACGTAAATTTTGATCTTTTTTAATTGGTCAGCACATCAAGTGCCAAGATAAGCCTTGAATCAACCTGAACCAATAGAAAGCCTTGATTAGAACCCTATGTCAAGACGCCCTAACCTAATTAGGAAGCAGCAATATCACTGAAAATAGAATTTGATATACATAGTATCTTTTATAGAAAGGCCAAATAGTGAGCCTAACACTTGTATATATGCGAGTTCCTTGAAAGCTGCTGTGGTGATTTGGTAGACGTCATTATTTTGATTGAGATGCGTTATTACCAATAGATTTTGCATATTCACTAGGTACCAGTTTTTGCTCGCTTAGAGGAGTCAGTACTGTATATGTAACAAGCCGCAAGGAAAGTACTTCTGATAACTGGCTTTACGCTTTATTTTTTTGGTTTTCCGGCTCTGAATTCGCGCTCTTTTGGGCCGAGGGCGGTCCTTAGCTTGTGGAGCAGCTTTAATAGCATTAATGGGCCCTGAAATCCCCTTTTGGTGGTGTTTTTGAGTCGTTTGCTGTACATTAACATCAATTGGTACATTCTTATCCTACTGCCTTTTTTGTGGGGGGTTTTTTGCAGGAATTTAAGGTTCAGGTTGCCACTCCTAAAACGATAATTGCCGCATCTAGTAGGTCACAATGACCAATTAAAAAAAGATCAAAATTTACATCAAAAAGGTGGATACTTGTTTGTACCGCCCTCACTGTCCTTTGAAGAATCAGGCCATCGACATGCGATCCATGACAGACACAAATCCTAGACAAAAGACCGAAATAGGGAATTGGCACACTGGACAGCAAAAGGCCTTGGTTCGCCCGGCGTGCGAGCAGCCGGCCAGAAAAATCCCTAAAGGGTCGCATTGAAAATGACACCCCTGGGGTTTATCCTATGAAATGAACCGGATGCTCATGAAATAGATCCTCATGCTTCCAGGCTCGGCAGAGAATGCCTGTTTCTCTAGCTTTAGTAGAGGCCTCCCGATGTGCACACTTGCGAGCCAAGGGATGTTGGAACTTACTGCCACAATCGCTGGTCAAGGAGATCCAGAAACGGAAGGACGTGCTTGTTTGTGTAACGCTGCTAGAACGCCGGAGGGGCTGTTGTCGATTTGAATGGTATTCTTTGTACAGTGACAGGGACAGAAGCGTTTTTCGAAGAGAAAATGCTTGGGAGAAGGCAGAGCAATGGCACGTTAGAACAGGCACGCATGTCTTCGTTGGATGAAACAAAACAAGGGTAGTCAATATTTATTTGCCCTTTATTCTAGGACGAGTAGTCCCGGGAGTAACAGACACCCTCTATCTGCTGGACAGGAAGGTAAGAGAGAGCTTCCCTCGAGTCACAAGCGCAGCTGATTCAGCTGCAGAACAGACACGTAGTGGAAATCGGTATCGTAGATCCTGCATTTCATCCGCAAGGAAGAAAGCACGAAAACTCATTTGACGTAAAAGTTGTAATGACACTACAGGATCCTCAGATTGATTGGGTAATGCTACTTTGAGCAATACGCATTCGCACCAAGAGAAGAACTAAAACTCGAGGCCTGCGGAAAAGAACTCCATGCCCCAAGAAAATTTGCCCTGCCATCCATGCTACTCAGCTATCTGTGTCACTCTGCCTTGCCATCCCCGGCAAAGCCACCCTCAGCACTTGCTCTCCACCATCTCCTTTACCCGTCATCAACAAGTAACGAGGTGCCTTGCGCTAGTGGCTGATTTATGCGAGATGTCGTAGGACGTAGTGGCCACCCTTGCCGGATTTGCCGCTCTTGCCAGACTTGCCGCTCTTTCCAGATTTCTTGGATTTCCCAGACTTGCCAGATTTCTTTGAGCCAGATTTGCCGGACTTGCCGGATTTCTCACTCCCTGAGTATGGGTGTGATGGCGGAGGGTAGGATGGGGCCGGGTGGCCGTAATCAGTGGCCACAGCGGCAGCATTTCGGACAGCCAGGTGTCGACGAACATAGTTGCCGCCGCTAGATTTGCCAGATTTGCCAGATTTGCCAGATTTGCCGCTCTTCTTCGAGCCCTTGGACTTGCCAGAATTTCCAGACTTGCCAGATTTCTTTGAGCCAGATTTACCTGACTTTTCGCTTCCTGAGTATGGGTGAGATGGTTCAGGGTGATATGGGGCCGGGTGGCCGTAGTCAGTAGCCACAGCCGCAGCATTTCGGACAGCCAGGCGTCGACGAACATAGTGACCGCCGCTTGACTTCCCAGATTTGCCGCTCTTCTTGGAGCCCTTGGACTTCTTGGACTTGCCAGATTTGCCAGATTTGCCAGATTTCTTCGAGCCGGATTTGCTGGACTTTCCTGTGACACTCTTTGAAGGGTAGTGGCCGTAATCAGTAGCTTCAGCATCTCGAGGAGCCAAGCCGAGCCAGCGTCTCACGACCTCATTGGCATTTGGTTCAGGCTCACGGACGGCAACATGTCGCCGAGTGTAGTAACCATGACCACTCTTGCCAGATCCGCTCTTCTTGGACTTGCCTGACTTGCCTGACTTCTTGGACTTGCCTGACTTGCCAGAATTCTTGGACTTGCCGCTCTTCTTGGATTTGCCCGAACTGCCACTCTTCTTGCTGCCGGTGTCGTATCCAGTTGGCTCGGCAGCCGCCGAACGCACCTTGAAGTACTTCCAAACAGAGCGCTTCAGTGCTTTCGAGGCGGGGCTTGCAGAGCGGATTCGTTTGTAGTAGCCATGACCATAGTCACCTGATTTGCTGCTCTTGCTGCCTTTTGAGCTCTTGCTGCCTTTTGAACTCTTACTCTTCTTGCTGCCTTTGCTACCTTTGCCCTTGGAGTAGTCTGTGCGACTGTGAAGTGCAAGGTTTCTTGCGGTAAGTGCTCCAACCGGGGCCGATACAGCATCGGCCTCGGCAACTGGGTTGGCAGTTGGGAGGGCAGACACCCCACTGGCTGCAACAGCCGCGGCGACGACGAGTTTATCGAAACGCATATTTGTGGAAGAAAGGGTCAGATGGCCTGAGTGAGATGAGCTGGAAGAAGTAGGTGAGGGGTCTATGCAAAGAGTGAAGAGGACGGTGAAGCCTTGAAGCGAAAGCTAAAGACAGTACTTAGAAGAGACTGCTTGTGATATGGATAAAGGAGCTTGAGCGAGCAAGTGAAAGTTTTTCCAGGAAGCAAACACGAGGCAGATTATATAGACATCAGGCGCCTCATAGATGGATGATGGCTTTACATGTGAGCTCATAGATGGATGATGGCTTTACATGTGAGCTAATAGTGTTCCGATGTCCCAGAGAGTAGCCACGGTTCCCCTCCCTCGGGTATCTCCCGATCTTCATTTTGAGCTTGCCAAAGGAAGGTGTGATGTACGACAAGGAGAACAAACTATTGGGTCTTGTCCATGCATAACGTAGAATCTTGTCTCAGGTGTCACAACACCTGAAAACCAGATGTCGCGTGAGCACTGGGCCAGAACCACAAGTGTGACTAACATATCATGAGATTCCGCCGACTAGGAAACAGTAGTGGCAAGGATCTACGAGCCGCCAGAGTAAAAAGGCGGTTACCGGCACGCCTTCTCAGCGATTGTGGCGTGATATTCTCCTGGCGGCAGGATGGTAAGCCCTCGTGCATGCAGCCGAACCGCAAATATCAAGAGTACCAACTTCCTCCTACTCACAAACTAAGCTAGCGCGGAATATCAGAGCCGAGAAATCGAGGAGGGATGGATGAGGATCGAAATGGAGGGTAGAACTGCATGTCTGCCATGGTATGTCTCGACTGTGGTGGTGTGCTCTTGGGACGAGTCATGTCCATCCGTGATCTGAAATTGTTCCTCGAAGTTTCGATTCCTCTTTGGAAGAGAATTGTTCTAAATCACCTAATTCCGAGAGTCATTATTGTGTCTTAGGCTGGTTGCCCTCTGCGCCTCAGGAATGAGATGTAGTCTGGCGCCACAGTAATCCGGTGAATTAATCAGCAGGACCGGGCCATCAGGTTGTTTGTCGAGGTATATGCAAGGCCGTTCTCGACTTTCTGCAATGAGGAATAACGCCAAGTACGAGCAGCAGGAAGCACATTGAAGTTTAACCCAAAGAGGAATGCGAATCAAGTGCGAGCCATAGTATTCCGGATTGAGTACTTAGTGGCTCGAGGTGGATCCGATCAGCCTTGGAGGGGGCGTAGAAAGTGATCTGGTTCCAAGGAGATGGAAGAAAGGAGCAGCTTAGATGTCTTCCGGGGACTTGGCCCTTCATCGTAGCTCACTGCAATAGGTTGTTGGTTGACGGATGCAAGCTAAAGCTCTTATGAAACAAAATGCCAGCGTCATTGCGTGCTCCAGTGAGGTGAAGGATGGTTGTACGAGGATAAACATCATGTCAATCTTTGCATTATGATTCCGGAGTATACATACAGAGTAGTTAGTAGTAAATGATATGTGGCGCATGCTTTATGCACTAGTCCTGATTTGGGTTGATATGTGTTGAACTGTGCTGACTAATCGACGGATCAGTGTGGAAATAGCAAGTTGTTCTATCTAATTCAGTGCGAGGAGCGCGCATTTATACGTACAAAGTTGCTATATCAAGCGAAATAGCGCGAAACGCAGATACCAAAAATACATGCGTGGCTGATGCAAAACGCGTATCAAATCTGTAACAAAACGCTGGTGACACACGTAGCAAAATAGCGCAAACTGTATTTTTGAGTTCAACAATATGCCAATGACAACTCGGAACTTTCTTGGAACTTTCTTGGGACTTCCACTCTTCACTCTTTCCGAAACTCGCAGCATCTCTGTGGCTCCGTATCACGGTAGTTGAACCAGAAAGAACTTGTAACACAGTGCTCCATAGGTTACAGCGGAAGCGATCTGAACCTTGGAGCATGAAACGGTTCGCGGGTAAGGTTGCGCTCTAGGTCAAGCATCATGCAAGGTCAATGCAGTGGAGATCACTTATTCGCAAGATGCAATGTCGTCCTCGATAGCTACGGCTGCAACGCCAAGTCCTGAAGGATCTTAGGCTCCCACCCAGGTACTAGTACTACGCAGCATCCAGCCGAGTGAATTGGTCGAACATGCCTTCGAAGCCATATGTGGCCACGGTTCATGACAGGCATGAAGCATGAAGGTGCCCAATACCGATGGAGGTCATTACGAGCTACTCCATCGTTTCAGGAAACGAGACTGTTGAGATCTGCAGCAACGAACGCCCTACATGTAACCTGCAATAAGAACGTAGACAGCCTGGATATTGAAATGCATGTGTTGCTCAAGATCTTTAGATCACGTAAAAGTACGGATCTGGAGTGCCCTACAACTCTTCGGTACGCTATAGATAGACCTTCTTCCCGCTGCATAACATTGATAAGTATACATATGGAGGCAGCAAGAATATTAGTCAGTAAGCAGAGGGCCTGTAGTGGCTCCCGACGGCAAGAAGCTGGCAGTTCCCTGATCACCGGGAACTTTGGAATCCCAAGCCTCTTGCGTGGGAGTAGGGATAGAACTCGGAGTGTCAGACTAGCCAAATGCGCCGAACTTGTTGTGAAGCTAAGATCTCCCGATATGCAGCGACGGTGACTATTTTCGGGATCGCCATCCCCACGATAACATTCTGCATGCTTGCTCGGAACGGCACTGATTGCCATCCGAAAACAATGCCGTATCCATTGACAGGATATAGCGCACTGCGTTTGGTAGCCAATGAGTCTTGCCCCAAAGGCCGCCGTAGCCGATTTGAGCAAGATGGTCTGACGTGCACATCACCACAGGGTGGAAGGGTGAGGGCCCGCGGGACCATAGGAGAAAGTTTGGGCGTCTCCACCATCGCGTGACAATCATGACTTGGCTTAATGTCTGACTCCATTCTTGCTCCGAGCTCCACACACAATAAGATCGTCTAGGTAGTGAAGAGAGCATGCGTAAGCTGTATAGTCCAAACTGGAGATGGATGGCTATTACCACCACTCTTCCATGTTGCACCAATCCCTTGATAGACCTTGTAGAACCGAACGTCGGATACCAGGTTAATGTCGACCGAACATCATGGGCCCGGAGCTGGGTGCCGAAAATAGTGGGACTTCCGTCCCACTCCACTCTATTACTTCTATCTTTAAAATGGTATAGGAAGACCATTTCGCTCATTTACGGCAGCTACTCTTTTGGGCATCGTAGCAATTGCCTTATTGATCTCCTCCAGAGTGATTTTATCCCACTCCTCCTCAATTGCTCGCCGCAGCTCCTCTGGATCAGTAATAAGGCCTCGATTCTTTAGCCTCTGCTTCAACAACCTCCAGATGCTCTCTATAGGGTTCAAATCAGGCGATTCTGGGCAATTAGCTTCCCATTGGATCCCTAGACGAGCTTTGGCCTTTTTGACTTTGTTTTCGGCCTTGCCACGAGTGCCATGCGCATTATCATTATCCTCTAGAAGTATCCAATCCTTATCCCAATTAGGAGCGATAACTTCTTCTAAAAAAACGAGATAATCAGCTTGAGTAAGCCGTCCACCTCCTCCTGCGCCTGTGTAGAAGTGTAGGGGACTCTTGTAATTCCATCCAATGTACGCAAATACATGCCAAATTTGATTACGCCGTTTCAATCGAAATTGAATCTTTGAAGGAGCATTTCGTGTTTCTCTGCCGCGTCGACGATGTACCATAGCTTGACGTTGTAGGCCACATGCAAAATGACATTCGTCACTGTATTTGTACTGCTTGAATTTCTCTAAATCCCAATACCGACGTTCAAATCCCTATATTTCGCGTATCTTGACATTTTTGGAATGAATGTATTTTTTCTGTTGTGCCCTATAGGTGCCCACTCTAAACTGAGCCATATTTCTTTGAATTGCGCGTTCAGATCCTTGAGCTAGGCTAATAGAGCTTGCTATGGCATAATGAGAGGCAGATGCAGCGCGAAATAAGCTATCTTCAACCGTCTTAATAGCCTCACATTAATAGGGTTCCAAAAAGCGTTTTCGACCACGATTATGAACGTTATTGCCACAGCGCGTAGATTGTGATTTGAGGATTCGATAGCCTGTTGTTTTTGGTATACCAAGTGATTCAAATAGCTTTTTTCGAGGTAGTTTGCCTGCTGTAGCCTGCGCGGCGCAAAGAAGTCGCGTACGACGTGGAGTATCGACTATAGTATTTGGCTCACGTGGAGGCTCTGTGGGTATCGAAATTGACGAATCAGGCTGTTGACAGTTTTTTCGACTAGTTTTGCGAATTCTGGCCACTTTTCAGCTGATTTGAATAACAATTGGTTGAATAATAGAAGATAGAAAAAAGGGGGTTGTTTTGAGGGTGGGACGGAAGTCCCACTATTTTCGGCACCCAGCTCCGGCCTCAGTCATAGGCCCCTCCTGGAAAGCACGCCATGCAGCTGAGACCAACATCAGCCAAAGTTTGGGGGGGTCTGAAAACAGGCCCTGGGCAGGAACTGGCCAAGGTGGGACACACTAACACAATAAACTTCAATGGATCATGCTTCTGTGGGGCGATTTTGAGCTAGCATTGCTGAAGATGCTTTACATGCTCCTTTGATCATATGTCTCAGCCTGCGCACCCAAGCGAGCATGACGGATCAGATTTATAAGAATTGCAGGGTCATGCATTCGCATACAAATCTCAAGAGTCGCTGGTCGCGTGATCAACTGCAAGCTACAGACACGATCTCTGGGGCGTAGCGGCTCGGGGGTTTCTAATGTGTGTCTCAGAGTTTAATTCGATTGTCAGGAACAAACTCAAGGCCCCGGAGATATTCTGAGCTTGGAGCCCTTTAACTTATTGCGCCACACCAATCTAACGCCAAGATTGAATGACATCAGGCTGACCAGTGACCACACAATGGCTGACTCGCTCATTACTTACAGCAGACTACCAAGTGCCTGGCATCATTCGCAAAATTGAGTAGAAGCACAGCATCCATGATCCGGAATTGATCAGAGGTACGATTCATGTTGTATAATTATAGCGAAGTGGCGAGTCTATTAAAAGGTTGAGCACGACTCAATGCATTAGGATTTAGTGCGAGTAGTGGTTTTCAAGATTGTGTTGATAGCACAGCGTTCCAATACGAGGCGAGAGGTCAAGAGAACCTGAAAATGTTAAGTTTTGTTGCCTTCTTCGGGACGAAATATATGCTCCAAAAGGACGTGGAATCCTGACACCCACTGGTGAGTCGGAGCGTGAGGCGGCCTCTTAGATTATCCAGAGGCCAGGTGAGTTTCTTGCATCAATATCACCATCATTCAGGAGTATCCGACGCCGCATCCAGCAGGAACATACATATTCATGAAGGGTATATCTTTTTTAGGCTCCAAAGCTCTGTTCGACGCATTAAAAGAGCACTGCCTTCATTGCCATCAGCGACGCGGCCTACTGTAGCGGTAGAAAAGATGAGCCCCATACCGTAGTACCTGGGGATCGCACATGACTGAAAGTGATTAGCCTCATAAGTCCAGGGCAAAGAAGATCAGCCGTAGTTAGACCTTATGGGTGCATGCTGGATCGCCATGGAGCGCTTTTTTGTCTGGCTGAGATAATGCCATTCATCTATTCAGTGCCGCCGACAGATACGTTCTGACATGACAGATCCTTCCTCATATAGTATAGTATCTAAGGATGCTGAGCTCAAATCGAAAATGGCCATAAAACAGTAATCATCCTCTCATAATTTGCTGACATGATGGACTGGGTTCAAATTTTGACAGTGTATCTTATACATCTTTTGGAGATCTGCCATGTTTGATTTGTTTGTTGATAGAAATATTGAGGTCCGCTACTTACCAGGAGAAGGGATAGCTAAGTGCCATTAGTGGAAATGACAGCTATTCTGTCAGATGACCACCATACTAATATGATACTAGTAGTAAGAGAAACATATTTTAACCATACTATGACTAAATTTTCAGCAAAATACATTTTAGATAATAAGGTTTCATTGGATCACGGATGACTAAGCTGCATATCATTGTACTCTTTAAGCAATCATATAGTTGGGCCTAATCTAAGCGCACTTTGATGGCTCCCCTAGCATTACTACGTATTATAAGAGGGCCTTTTCCCGCTAAGTACTAAGTACTATGAGAAGAATCCCAAGAGTCTAAACCTGTATAGGAAGGAACGTACTTCTAGGTGGCACTGAATAACTACCTAGCATTCATGAAGTGTTAGAGGATGTAGCAAACAGCGTACGGAGGTGCCAATTCACTTGATTGAGTTACTCCTATCAAGAGGAGCATTTGCTCATACTAATAGCTATAGAAGCGCATTACTGTAACAGCTCAGAAACAGCATTTGGCGTTCAATTCGTATAGCAATGCTCACTGCCATAAATGACAGGGCGTAACAGTTACAAGAGCGTTTCGTGCGTTTTGCATGCGGGGACCCTTGTACCATCATGCTAATACGCAACAGATACGTATCATATACGCAGGGATTCTGACATGAAGTACAGTCATGGGCATTAGGAGAGCAAGGACAGCTCTTGAAGCTCGTGTCCTTAAAGTTTCCGAAGACACATCTCTGGTGAATGCTGTATATGGGCAAGTTTGACATGGAAAGTCCTTCGTTGCACGTAAAGCTCGAGTAGTAATGGGCGGTGGAGAGCATCGTCAATTATAATCAAGCAAATTCCTAGCATGATCCAACTTGTCTTCAAGTTGTTCTCTTACTAAGTAGTACTACTATTAACGTAGCTAAATTATAGAGCTTGGCACGAATAGATTTTGGAGCTTATCGATTGGACGACGAATCCCATGACAACTGCCGTGCAATCTTTGGAGACACTGAGTAACTACGTAGTCCATCTACCACCCTCGTGGCAAGAACAATGGCGCTGTTAAGTTCAGCAGCTGCCAAAAGGGGGCCTACTGTGCTGGTACGTTCCTGTGAAAGACAATGGAGAAGCATGTTGATTTTGAGCTACGACAGGTACAAGATCCAAGAGAACAAAAGGCACAGCCCTCCAGAAGACAGCCCTCTCGGTTCATCACTGTGGATAGTGTCCTCCAATATGCTTCCGAAATTCCGTCCATGCAGCAACGGCCGCCACCGAGACCTCGGGCTTTACGTACAGGCTCCGGCAGACCGGTCGACCCACGATTGACAGGTCGTTCTGCTCCCCCTCATATGCCACCTCGCTCTACAAAACTTTCCGAGAAGCTTGTTCTCCTACCCGAGACCGTAGAGGAGGCCGACGAGAAGGGTGATTTTGGCGAAGATAATGAAGCTGCACCACTCAAGGATGGCGAGGAGGAGAGAAGACCCGGGCGGGAGAAGGCAAAGAGCTATGCAGAACGCTTACCAAAATCGAGACGAACCGAGAAAGATCTTGCGCGAGTGACCGCCTACTGCACAGCGCAAGCCTATAAGATGAAATCTACCGCAGCTTTCATCAGAGATAGGCATGGTGCACGCACAAAGTTATATGATGACTGCCTTTACACAGCGTATCACCTTCCTTTACTACCAGGAACAGACGGCTACCGGGTACAGTGTAGTCCGCCTCTGAAGAGTGCAGGAGGTATAGCAGTACTGGACGAAGCAATAGAACGAAGTGAACAGGGGGGCTATCACGGTGCTTACTTCGCAGAGGACGAGGAGCAGCACTCCGTTCGCAATGCCGAGAGCCCCCATGATTCAGCCGAGCCCACACCCATCCCAGAACAGAACAACTTCGGAAACCATCAAAGCAATGATGACCGAAGAGGCAGTGACCCCTCAGCGGCAGCAACAAAACCCATACCCATCGCAGAAATGTTTGTCTTCAGCTACGGTGTGGTAGTGTTCTGGAATTTCTCCGAGAAGCAAGAGAAAGACGTCCTAGCCGACCTGACATTCTCATCAATCCTTGACCCAAAGACAAACATAGCCGCGCCACTCGCACTGGCTACTTCCCCTTTGAATGAACAAGATTTCGAGACGGAGGAATTCCATTTCGAATACAATAACGAGATCTCTCGACCTCGCGTCTACAACGACATGATCACCCTAAGGAGCGGGGACCACATGATCAAACTCGCCATCAGCCACGCCATCGCGCAAAGCACCAAACTCAGCTTCTTCGAAGAAACCATGGCGACGCAGATGGAGGAAGCCAAGGACGTGCCCAAACGCCTCGCGCTCACAGGTGAACTAGGCATGAAGCGTGAAGACATAGTCAAGATCCTGGGTGGCCTCTTCAAGAGCCGCGTAGATGTGAATCTATGTAAGCCCCCCCACCCCCAAACAACCCCCGAATCACATAAACTCTAACCTCGGTCATCCAATCCCACCAGCCTCCAATGTCCTCGACGTCCCCAACCTGATCTGGGAATCCGAGCCAACGCTCCACCCCCTCTACAGCGCCGTGCGCGAATACCTGGAAATCAAACCGCGAATCCAAGTCCTCAACGAGCGCTGCCGCGTCTTCCTCGACCTGGCCGAGATCCTGTCCGAGTATATCTCCGACAACAAGATGGATCGCTTGACCTGGATCATCATCGTCCTGATCCTGCTGAGTATCCTGGTGACGTGTAGCGAGGTGGTTTTGCGGTTTGGCATCTTGACCGCGCGGAGCAGGAGGAAGGGCGGGCTGGGCGGCGAGGATATGGGCATGGGGATGGGGATGGGTCCGCAGGAGTTGTGTGCGCAGCTCTGTAAGGGGTTGGGTGTTATGAGCTGATCTATATTGTTTTGGGATGGGAATGGATGGTTGGTTGTCTCGGTTTTTTTGTGTGACTTGTTGAGCGTTGGTGTTGGGCCAGATATGTATTACTGTTTTGATGGAGCGAATCAGACGGGCAAAGTCACGATACGCGTACGCGATACACACTTGATGCCTAAAGCGGTTTTGGTCATTGGCGTCCTTTTTGTTCTGCCGTGCGCTCACTATACAATACCGAGTTTGTTGGTTGGTACGAAGTAGTATCCGATATTGAGCGCTTATCCCTTTCTAGCAGGTCTTATTACTCATACCTTTCCGTGTTCATTGAGATGGTAGTACGGAATACTTCTGTCTAATCAGACAGAAGTGGGGAGAACAAGGGGATGAAGTTTAGCAAGCTACAAGCTCCATGTAAGATAATGGGAACGTTCCTTGTGATTGTTGTCTGCCGATCTTGTCTAACGCACTAGCTTGGTCCCAGCACACCTTCGCCAAAGACCACGCATTGTATCAGATGCAGGGGGATATCGAGAAAAGAGCAAACTGTAGAAGCCACCAAGCCGTGTGGGAAAGAGCAACATGCCGTCGGGTCCCTTTCGAGCGCACAAAGGGAAAGTGAAATTGACGCCGCTATCAGAGCAAGTTTTTTGGCTCATGACACAATCCTGCCATTTCCTAGACCGACATGGCCTCTCTCGTCCAGCGTCCCCGTCTATTCTGCGGTCTTCTCTACCTCAGGTACTGGAGCAGCACCTTCGGCTTCCTTTGACTCGCCAGCGGATGGTCCACTTTCACCTTGCGGCTCAGCCTCGGATGAAGTCCAGAGAGTCTGAAGAAAATGTCAGTATACAGGTCCATGCCGGGGAAGTAAAAACCGCTTCATACCAGGTTATCCCTCAGCAATTGCATGATCAGGGTTGAGTCCTTGTAGCTTTCCTCACTAAGGGTGTCTAGCTCCGCGATGGCATCATCAAAAGCCTGCTTGGCAAGATGGCACGCCTGATCAGGGGAATTGAGAATCTCATAGTAGAAGACAGAGAAATTCAGGGCGAGACCAAGACGGATTGGATGCGTGGGGGCAAGGTCAGTCTGAGCGACTTCGGTGGCATTCTTGTAGGCCTCAAGAGATTTGTCGGCAGATGCCTTGCGTTTGTCGCCAAGAGCGAATTCGGCCAGGTAGCGGTGGTAGTCTCCCTTCCTAAAAGCAGAGGAACATAAGCTATTGAAACGCTCGCAACAGACCATGGGAACCTACATCTTGTGGTAGAAGACCTTGGACTCCCCAGTCTGAGCAGACGCAATCAGATGCTTGTCCAAAACCTCCAGAATGTCCTCGCAAATCTTAGCAAGCTCGGCCTCGATTGCTTGACGATATTCCTTGATGAGTGTGACTTGAGCTTCGTTTCCTTTCGACTCTTCCTTCTGCTCGATCGAAGTTACAATTCTCCATGAGGCGCGGCGAGCACCGATAACGTTCTTGTATGCAACCGAGAGCAGGTTTCGTTCTTCAACCGTGAGTTCTTGATCTGCCGATGCGACAACCTTCATGTTCTCCACCATCTCTGATAATAAATCAATATATACGTGCAGCATGTGGACCATTATGACAGGGTCGACTGACCCTCATATCGTTCGGCTTGCTCAGCGAGCTTTGCCAGATAAACAGATTCTTCGACACCCATTGTGGGAGACAAGAGACAGATCTGGGAATTAACAGATTGAGTCAGTTTTCAACGCGTAATTGATAGCCTTGTGTAGAATGCAGGCTGTGCATGGAGGTTGTTGACAATTTTGCCGGGTGAACGCAAAAGTGAAATATAGCAGCTATTGTGTTTCTGAGCTTTCGAAAGGTATTTGACCGTTCGCTGGTGATAATACGTGCAATCCAGTACTAATGTTGTGGTGAAGGGAGGTCATGCTTCTCTCATTCACAAAAGGACCAATAGCGGGCAACGGGTAGAATGGGTCGCAAGGCTGCCAAAGGACACAAATCGACTAGCGCAATGCTTCGCGATCCTCCTTGAGAATAAGGCGGTTGCAGGCACGATGAGGATGCAGTCGCGGGTGTGTCACGAGTAGCAGGAGGAGGTTGAGTGCCCCTTGAGACGGGACAAAAGAAGGCAAGGCAGATATCTCACCTAGTGGGTGGTAGGGCTGGGTTCCAGATATGGAGGGACTCGATATCCTGGTCAGCTCAAAGTAAAGAGCGTCGCTGGCGAAGGTGGGCTGTTGACGAGAATTGTTGTTCGAGAATTGGGGAAAGGAAAGGTCTGGGTGCAACGTACGTAGTATGGTCAGGGGAGGAGGGAGTGCAAATGTGTGCGGGAACAAGGACTTGAGAGCAAGGCCTGCGAAAGATTACACGCTAGTCTGAGGCAGGCAAGGCTGAAATCTGCTCGATGCATTGCGCCTCTCGACTGCAGACACTCCGGGCTCCAAGACACGCGGCAATCTACAACTGAAGAACTACTATCTGTGTGGACAGCGGGCCTTACTGTATGCATGTCCGCAATCTGCGCTTAGAACAGGTCATGGCTAATAAGCATTGGAGATCCAGATGTAGCGTTACGCATGGCACCGACTCGGGGCGGGGCGTTGATGACTCTCGCTTCGGCAAAGGCCTGTACTCATGCTTCTGTAGATCTGTAGATCGGTGATTGAGCAAGAGCCATATGTAGCAATTTGCTCGTGGGCGAAACGGTGTGTCTCCATCACGGCCTGAGGGACACATCCATATCTCGCCAAGGCAGAGGTGGCGGCTTCAGCAGTTTCGGGAGCATCTTCTAGAAATCGATAGGGCAGATTCTAGCGACCAAAGGCGGCTCCGGCTTCTCCTCGCTACGGCCTTCCACATGGCCGGTCTGGCAGTCCTTCACAACACCAATCTCCTCTTCAGTGTTCATTGACGTACCCGCCTTCTCCACTGCTTCAGCTAGGATTTTGCCACTCTTGATTATACCTCGCCAAAATGCTCCGTCAGAATATCATCAAAGTCGCTCGAGCTAATACGACACTTTACAAGAGATCCTTTTCCATGTCGACCGTCAGAGCTGCAGAAGGAGACGTTGGAGCTACCCGGTCAGGTGGCACAGCTTCAGCGTACGTTCGACAGCTTTCCTGAGCTCTATATTTCTGGCACATCTTGCAAGACTGTTCCGTGGAATGTCTACGACACTATTGAACCTTCGAATTTCTACCTTTTTACACGAACGCAATGCGCAGCTAAAGCGAACACCACTGGCAGACCATGATACTAACCTATCATCCCTTTCCTAGAGACGCTTTCAACAAACGGGAGCAAGCTGAAGAAAGCCGATTTATCCGCCAGAAGGAAATGGAGAGGTAGGTGTTGTCAGATCTCCATCCACCACATATCCCACTGACAACGCCCTTCCCTAGTCTTCGCAAGCTCAAAGAAAAGCTTCAGTCGCAGAGGAAGTACCTCGATGAACTCGACGGCCACATCAAGCAGCTCGAGAATGAACAAGGTGGGGGTGAACAACACTGAAATCGTATACTTCGGCTATCGAACCGATCGATCGATCACAAATGATGTGGTTGACCCACGTAAAGAATACATGGCTGATGAAGTTTGTACAGGGAGATCTTAAGTGGATTGATGGATGTTGTGGATGAGGCATCGTGGTGCAACGTGGAAGTTCTGACAGAGACTCTCATACTCATACATGTTGCTGGCTTTGCACTTGTGATGCATTACACGCGCTTGCCGTTGGAGCTCGAGACAATCCAGCTTGACCTCTTTGAGGGTAACTGACCAGATTGTGATATCACCAACTATTGACTCTCACAGTATCTTTTCGGGACCTTTCCTTTCCTCTATTTGTCATATGGAATTGATCCAATTATTGTCTGCCTCTTCTCACCGAGCCATGAATCTTGCTACTTCTCAATTGCGCTGGGTCTCTGCTCATTCGTCCACAACTAGGCATAACACAAGCCGATATGTCACCCTCTCTCCCAAGCCATCCATCACAAAAGCCGGACTCACGTAGTGTATCAATGCTGAGCTGAAGACTTCCTTATCTGGCTGCTATACCCCCCGCGCTAGTCAAGATAATACCTTTGACCCACCACTATGGTTCACTGCCATCCATATATTGTACGAGCGGTATAGCGGATACTGATCCTATATATTGACTATATATCGGAACATTACCAACCTGTATCCAGAGCCGTAGCTTACCCGACCAGATTCTCACGGCAGTGATGGCTAGAAGATACCGGTCTGATACGAAATACTGGGTAGATGCAACCAGCATAAGCAGTTATGTAGGTACTTTTCTAGGGACGTTTCCGTGCTTTGAAACTTGAGGTGCTATCGGTCCATGCTGCCATGCTAATCCCGAACACTCTCTCAGATGTTAGTTGCACTACTAGATATTGGTCTAACTGCAGCACGCAAGCTGGAAAGCGTCAAGGAAGGGATGAGGATGGGCATAAACCTCTACCAGCTTCTCGCGCTATCAAGCCGCAAACATAATTTAGGAAGACCCAGTGCAGACTAAACTTGACAGGCAGCCTACTTTGGAACTCTATGGGCTCTGATCTACAGGCAAGAAGGGCACAGCGCATTGAGGCTACACCTCTCTCTCATCTCTCTGACTCTCGGTAAGACTGATACCAACTGTTGCCTGGTCCCAGTTTCTTCCAAGTTATTACTACTGCCGGACCCAATCATCTTCTACCCATGTAGCTGCGATAGAAGTCTTCCGTTGCGCTGCCTCCCGCGCCATTGCTTCCATTCATTCCAGGAAAGCCTAACCCTTGGCTTGCCTTTTGTGCCGCATTGACCTTCGCTTGCAGCGCTACGGTGCCCTGATCGATAGCCTGTAATTGGCTGAGATGTGAATTGAGTATGCGAACGATCTGCGTGATCTGTAGAGTGAAAATGACATTCCATCGATCAGCATATGATTCCATAACGATAGGAACGTAGGGGGAAGATCGATAAGAACTTACCGGCTCATCAGCCTTTGTCGTCCGACTCAACCCAGCGTTCGCCGCATTAATCTCCTCAATCATAGTGGCCAGATCACGCCCCATACCCTCCAATCTCTCGTTCAACTTCTCTGCCAACTTGTATGTCTTTTCCCTCTCCTGATCCGGACCCCCCAATTCCATCCCCTGCCCGGCCCCATTTTTAGCCAGCATCTCATCCACCTCCCCTTCATACTTGCTCAACCAGCTCTCCAGCTCGTTTTGCTGGTTCTCCACAGCGCTCAGCTGCATCTCTACGCTCGCGGTCTGCTTTTCTGCCGTCACGGCCGAGATGTACAGCTTGCTGATCTTAGACATGTTCTCCACCAGCAATTGGTCCCATTGTGCGACGGTCTCGGCGTGGGATTGGAATTCTTTGGTGTATTTTGTGAGGTCGGACGCCCAGCGGGTGAGAATCTCGTCCATGGTCTTATTGCGGAGGCGGGACTGGGCGGGTGGAGTGGGTCCAGTTGTGGAGGCGCCGAGGACGGACGCCCCTAGACTGCCTGTTGGACCCCCTGCTGTTGAGGTTGATGCTGGAGCTGTGGTGCTGGTGGTTGCAGATTGTGATGTCGCGGTTGTCGTTGTTGTGGTGGCGGAGGCGGGTTTGTCCGGAACTTTGAAGGGACTGCTGAAAGGTGCGCTGGTAGTTGCTGTTGCTGAAGTGGTTGAGGTGGGCGTTTGAGAGCCTGATGTCGTAGGAAGTGTGGTACCTATGCTGAAGACATTGGCACCAGGTGTGGAGGATGAGGTTAGAGGGGTTTTATTCAAAATATTTCCAAATGATGGTGCGCTCGTCGATGGCGTTTGTGTAGGAAGCCCGCCGAAGACTGGCCTTGACGGTTCTCCACCTGATGCAGCGGTTTCAGAGGCGACAGGCTTAGTAGAGGGAAATTGAAATACTTTAGATGTGTCTGTAGATCCGGACGTCGTAGGCTGCTGAAAGAAAAGAGAAGGAGCCGCAGAAGAGGTTGTTAGAGTAGACGAAGACGGTATCTTAGAAGGATTCTGGCCGAGACCACTAAAGAGTGGCTTCTGAGGATTGCTGGATGGCGTTGTCAATGATGTAGTATTGGAAGTTTTCTGATCGAGGCTAGCAAATAGTGACTTCTTGGGTTCTGCATTTGTCGTTGTTGCCGTACTTGTGCCTTGCGAGGTCTCACCTGGCTTGCTTAAAGAGAATGGAGGAAGCGGTTGTTTGGCGGTGTCTCCTCCAAAAATGTTACCACCAGGCGCCGGGGCTTGAGTGGAAGCTACACTACCTGAGATTCCGGCTGGCTGAAAAGGATTGGCGGCGGACTTGTCCTTGTCTTTGTCCTTGCTCCCAAACAAGTTGTTTCCGCCAGTGCTTCCACCAAAGATGTTTGTTGGTGGTGGACCGGCAGGTGTCGTAGTTGGATTGAATGAGAAGCCTGATGGCGCAGGAGTTGTTGAGCCAGTAGGTGCTGATGAAGTTGCGCCGCCTGTTGAAACGTTTCCAAAAAGGCCTTGAGACTGTCTAGGAGCTGAACTGGAACCGGTGCCGAAGAAAGGTTTAGGAGGGGTCTGCGAGCCCCCTATACCACCGAAGGATGGAGTGGTCGAGCCAGCACCGAAGCCTTCAAACCCACCAGCCGCTTTGTTGTTTGCCGTAGCTCCATTTGACGGCTTGTTCTCGCTTGTGCTCACGGCTCCAAACCCAGCGAAACTGAAGCCACTTCCAGAAGATTTGCTTGTATCGGTGTTCCCAAAGAGGTTACTACCTGCCCCCTGACCGGTGGTACTGCCGAAAAGCGTGCTACCTGAAGGTTTTGAGGTCCCAAAAAGGCCTGAAGTCGACGATGAGCTGGTTGAGGGAGTTCCGCCGAAGTTGAATTTTGGAGGATCGTCAGCCATGGCGGCTATTGCGCAAACACGAGTGCCTCAGCTTTGATGGGTTGACCTGATCAGTGCGATTTGGTCATGGGACCAGCTTCAGAATGTCTTGAATATGAAGTTGGGTCTTCCTGAGACTGCAACGGGTAGATTGGTGCATGGCAATCCATAGACGCGTCTGGCGCGAGCAAAATGTTCCGGCAGGGTGACACTCAGTGAAGTGACAATGGTAATGGAGAGCCGGTGCAGGTACTTCTGGGGCTAGCGTGTCTCATGATCCATGTCACCCTTGATTGGGTCTAGATAAATGCCAAGCAGTCAAGCTCAGCAATCCATTGGACATTAGTAGTTAGTGGTACTACTAGTTAGTAGTGGAGGTTAGCCCTGCAAGAAGAATCGTGACGACCATTTCTCAGTAAGTTACATCGAAGGCTCTCTACACGACACTGCTCCTGACGTCTGCAATCTATCTCCCCGAGTTTTGAGGAGTGAGAAAGCCCTGGAGGGTTCGAGATGGCTACAAGGCCTGCTAGAAGCAACACACTGGAGCCGCCTACGAAGAGCGTTGAGCTTATAGATTCTGGTGCTCATGACCTTGGTATGGACCGCTTCAGGATATGCTTGATGCTTCAACGCTGACCACTCTAGACATGTCCGGTGATGACGAGCACTTCTCAGATGCTTTGGAAGGCCATCAACGACCAAATTCTCGACCCCCTTCTCCTCTGAACTCTCGCCCAACATCCCCTATCCCTCGCACAAGAGTAGAAAGGGTTGACGACGAACCGAGGCATGGAGAAACACCTGGTTCGCCAGCATATGATATGCGGAGACAGGATGCAGTACCGGACGAGCTGGAGATAGTGCCAGAGGGCAGACTGAGCAAACGAAGTTCCTCAAGCAGTTTACAGCCATCCCTACCACCCGGGGGCCCTCCTGTCCCACTTACCGTAGTTGAGAAAGTCGATCCGGCCTCCCCAAGTCATGGTGAAGTACCAGGCACTGCTGCATACGAGCAAAGGCAAGCCGATGCTGCTCCAGATGTCGTTTTGAAAGCTTCCGACTCCTATACCACACCTCAACCGTTTCCTCCTTCTCAATCGGCCAAAGCCACCAGCCCATGTCCAATCCCCGAAACCATCATAACAAGAGCCGATTCCGTCCCAGGGCTAGATGAGACGTCTCGGACTGGTACAAACGGGGTACAGAATCATGGACAATCAGGTGAGGGTAAGCAATGACTTCTCGAAGGCACTGTCAGGGGTCGATTGACCTGGTCAGGGTCACCGACGCTGGAGGGGTCGCCGCAGCGGGTTCACTCGAGACGTAAAGCATCCTTAAACTATAAAGAGGACTCAGCCTTTGAGGATGGCTTTGGTGACGATTTTGATGAGTTCGAAGAGGGTGCTCAACCGGGGGAGGATGACGATTTCGGTGACTTTGACGACGGGATTGAAGGCCTATCGGCCAGTGAAGAAGTATCTGAGCATCTACTACCAGCACAAGATGGGCCTGGACCAGCTTTTGTAAGTAGACGGTGCTTCATTAGCAGCCTAATTGACTCCTATTTTCCGGGGCTTTTTGTCTGCTACTTTGCTTATTCTGTGATAGCCCATCCTAGATTTTGGCTCCCTGTCGTCTCTTCCAGATATTATTGCGGCCACCCAGGTTTACCTCGATGCCATGTTTCCCAGCACAACAAAAGAGAAGCTCGAAGCTTTACCGAAGCCAGATCCTGTCCCGCCTGAATCACCCATCTTTCCAACGGAAAGGTCACGAGCATTATGGGAACAACTGATCACGCCGCCTCCACTCCAACCACCCAACTGGACAAAGTCTCGGATTCGCCGACTATTCCTCGTTTCACTTGGCGTGCCAGTCGACTTAGATGAGATACTACCTCCGAGCAAGCAGAAGAAACTAGTTTTACCAGACATGCATCTTGAACCACCAACTCGAAAGTCAGAGAGTGATAAGACTCTTGGCTCAGTCTCAAGGCTGAAAGCTAAGGCTGCGAATGACTCTAACGCATCTATTGACAGTAATCAGTCTTCCTCACGAAGTAGAAGACGGGCAAGAGGGCCGCTACCTCCGCCTGATTTGGATCTGGGTGCTGTGAAGAGGCTTTGTGCGACGACTGACGAGAAGCTCGATGGTCTCACGGTTGATGAGCTTAAGGACCATATACAAGATTTGGAAAGCAAAACAGAAAAAACGCAGGAGTTACTTGAGTACTGGCTGAAGAGACGTGATGGCGCAGTGAAGGAGAAAGAAGCATTCGAGGGCGTTATTGAAAACCTTGTTAGGCATGCTAGGAGGGTGAGAAAGTGACGCGGGGTGCCAAACTGCCTTTCTGAGACATTTACTTCAGAATACAGAAGAAGCACAAAAATCCTCACAGCACCCGTTGCCTTAATTTACAGGCCTATCGCGTCTGCAAAATACCCTCCGCTGAGACTTATAAAGCTCGATATCCCCAACGAAGAAATAATAGACCAGGTTTTCACCAGTAACTCCTACATTGACCACCATAGTGATCCTTTGTCAATTCTCAGTCACTCTCCTCTGACCTTTCGTCGGCGACCGCATCGCTGTACAGCCGAATCTCAGCCCAGTTGCGCATAATCCACAAGGGCGCCCTCCCGGCCGGGTCGTGATAGAGTTGAAGCCCATAAGCGGAATACTCTGGCAACCAGGACACAACCCGATACACGGGGGTATTTTCAAGGCGAGCGCGTTGTTGCGTAAGGAACATGTCTATCATGAAATCCTCCAGCATGAAGCCTTGGTCGCGTTTGTCATTGTTGTCATCTGTAGAAGACCTGTTCGCGGATGTTGACGATGGAGACTGCCGCTCAGGATCAGAAACTGTGGTCTGGGCTCCTCCTACCTCGTCGGAATTGCGTGGCTGTGGGCACCCTGTGCATGTGTGACTATTGCTGAAGCCTCGCACTTGGCCCGCACCTTGGCTCTCACGTAAAGGAGCAGAAAGGCCGCTGGTGCTGCGATTACGGTCTGAGTTTCGATGAGTGGGTCTGCCTCGCTCCTCTGGTTTAGAGCTTGTGCGTAGGTTATCAGGAATTAAAGCTGATTCGGGTACGGATCCAGTGTACGAAGGTTCAACCGGATAACCTTCAGGTGCTCCGTTTGTGCTGGGCCGTTTCTTCTGTTCATCTGATGGGGCCATTTTCCTGAAATTGACATTGACTTTGGCTGAGCTTTTTCGCGCGCTGTTATCAGTGGGTTGGGTGCCGCGGTTTTATCCTTCCATTCTTGTTGCCTGCATCTGATTACAAATGGTGTTGATCGTCTGTACCGTTTGTTAGCCATCCGACTATGCTGGTCTTGCCACTGCTAAAAAAGAAGAAGACGATTCAACAAACAACGCTATCGGTAATCTTCAAATATCGGACTGTTTGATGGACGAATTGTCAATCAAGCTGGCAACCCGGCCTCGGTGCGCGGGAAGCACGACATCTACTGTTGAGGGACGAATCAGGAAATATTTATTCTCCACCTTCGCAAGCGCCAGTCAAGCTGTGACTACACTTGCTACCCTTGGCTACCTAAAAGCTTCATTGTACCTTGTACCTGCTTTGTGCTCCTACTTCTTGGGCGCCACAGGCGGTCGCTTGGTGCCATCAAACCAAGATTCTGACAAGAGCTTCTGTCAAGATGTATCTTGTTCTTCCAAGCAAGCAGTTCTCCTTCCAGGGCGCAAGCCTGTGATGCTCGAAAAGAATCTCATACCATGTTGCGGCCACTCGGGAGCATATATGCGAAAAAGGTGTCTGAATTCACTGTCCATTTCTCCTTGTGCTCATGAGCATCGGACCTCGAGCTCCAAGGACGAAAATGCACTTATGTCAAAGCCATCTCCGGGTGAATGCGAACAGTAAAACCTTTCTATATTTCTCTAGTCTTTTGATGTCGTGGTTCCGGAATTCAAGCCTTATCTAAAGGAAAAGGAATTTCATAGTAGAGTGGTCACCTGGTTCATAGAGGAGGCGATAAATACGAATTCAGTGCTTACCGGGCTCTAATCACGTCGATCTTGATTTCAAGCGTTGATCTCCTGATATACTGCAGATTGCTTGAAACTATCTCTAATTCAATTTATGGTCAGTCTCTCTCATTTATGTCATTGCTTACTATCGAGTCCTTGCACTTACTTGAGGTCTTGCGTTCTCACGCACAAGCAAGACACTGAAAGCGCATAGTTCTTGAATGCAAAAGCGTCTGTAACCGTGAACATCACTGCGATCTGCACAGGGATCAGAGCTCTGCTTTTCGATACACAACTGCACGTTTCAGACAGAGTAAGGGTCTCACCTATAGCTCGTCCCTCCCCAAGGGCAATTCATTTGCCATTGCCTGTTCCCAGATCGCGACAGCCAGGCCAGCGATGATAGAAGGACAGCTAGCTTGAGCATGAACCCTGGGGTCTGCCATATCCATGGATGCATCGTCCGTGGTCTCCAGTGTCCACTCAGGTCAACGAGGGGTCGACCAGCGTTATCCGAAGTCTATCTTCCCAGTCCGCCATACAACTTAGTCGCAGTAGGGCATTGATATGAAGACCGGCAGTACTGATTGAGGTCAATGCCGAGATGAGGCCGCCGTACCACATTCCCTTGGTTCTCCAACTGGTCTACTCGAATACATACCAAGAAAAAGCGCCTGCAATCACAGCCACTACAAGGGCAGCCTGCAAGCGTTGAGCTGTTGGTGCTAAGCAGACGCTGAGATCGGAAAAAAGGATACCAATCACTGACAGTGTGCCAATGCGCTTGAGATCTGCAAGCTCATTCTTCTGCCATGCTCTTGTTAACTCTCTTTTCTGCTTCTCATCCGGCGCATTAAGTAACAGGTAAAAGATGTCGTGAGACCATCGAACGGACATGATCAATGCCCACGGTGTTCGACCGGCTGTATAGTTTGAGGCCATAGATACGGTTTGCAAGATCCGAATCAGCTACATCGCTAATTCCCTAAGTGCTAGTCTCCTCAACCTTCTGAGCTCCCGGTCAAAACTCGAAGCTGCTGTCTTCTCCCCCATTTGTCTTCCGGTACCGCCTAGATGCTCAGATTAATTGTCGAGGAAGGCTTTCAGGATGCCGAGCTCACTGGCGGAAAAGGTCAGTATGGCAATCGGGATGCGATTGGCGTCGCAGCATAAATCTCTCGCGCACGGTTCTATTGACAGAAGATGACTGGGACCAGCGTGAGAGAAGGGAGGAGGGATCGGGACCACAGCAGCCTCGCTGGTATGCTTTCAACCTATTTTCTCCCCCAAGCTCGGAGGGAGAAACAATGCTAAAGTTCAAGAAGAGGCTGAGTCCGATGTTTCGTTGTCTCGAATGTCCCAGACGGGCGCCCACAAATACGCCAAGCGGTAATTACCCCTTTGGGCCAGCGCAGCGGCAAAGCCTACTAGTTCCGTATGCTTTGATTGGTCCCTGGGAGTTCAGCGCAATCACTTACTTTTAGTCCTTATTCGCCAATTTTATCTGTTCTGTCTTGCAAAACAAACGGCTAATATGTGCGTGAGAGCGCTCTTGCTACTGGATGTCAAGTTTTGGAGATTGTAAATATCTTGTATCCCTGTACTTGATGAGCTGGAAGCCATATGATACAAAGACAAGAACATTATAAGACCCCTTACTCCTTCGACGGGCAGTACCCCACAATGCCACCCTTTCAACCCACTGAGATGGCGGCAGCCTGGGCCATGTTGTTGAGGAGCATGGTGTGGACAAAGACGTGCAGGATTATAACACCTACTTTGCGACTACAGAAGTAAGAGAAGACTATCGTAAGTAGGGAAAAGCACTCGCTTATGTAGACAAAGAAGAATCGTTGCTCAGCCATGCTCAGTCCTGAGCTCCTCTGAGTAGAAGTGCTCAGCAGTGCTCACCCATAACTTGCTGCCATGAGCAATCCTCTTGGCAGGGTCCGGAGCTAGGGGCCAAAATTCTTGAGACTTCTCACCCACCCAATTCAACACCCTCTATCTTCAAACTCCTACAACTCCACCAAATCAACGCTAAATACTCTGCAAAATGGCTAAAACGCGCAAAACCAACCGAAGAACCTGCAGAATCCCTGATTCGTCAATTTCGATAACCCCATCGTCGCCGCGCAGGGCACAAACTATTGTTGATACACCGCGTCGGGTACGACTTATTCGCGACGCAGAAGCTACTGCTGGCAAACTACCTTATATAGAGCTATTTAAGGCACATAATATAGCTAAAGCAACTGGCTATCGAATCCTTAAGTCGAAATCTCCGCGCCGCAGTGAACACATCCATAATCGAGGTCAAAAACGAGTTTTTGCTTCTCATTAATATGATGTTATTGAAATAGTCGAAAATGCCTTATTTTAATACGCAGCTACTTCTCACTATGCTATTACAAGGGCTATAGGTCTAGCTACTAGGTCTAAACGAGCAACTTAAAGAAATATAGCTAAATATAGCGTGGGCATCTTTATAGCATAATAGAAGAAATTTATTTCTTAAAACTTAGTTGAAAAACATGGAATTTAGGCATTTAAACATTGATATTAGTAATTAGATAACTTTAAACGCTATAAATATAACAACGAAAGTCATTTTGCTTGTGGCCTTTAATAACAGGCTCGAATTCATCGTCGCTATAGTTAAGATACACAAAATTCATATTCAAAAATCTAATTTTAATTTAAACATCGAAATCAAGTCTGGCACGTTTTTGCGTACATTAGATGGAATTTCAAGAGCCAGCTACACTTCTACATAGGGGCAGGGGACAAAGGACGGCTTACACAAGCTGATTATGTCACTATTTTAGAGGATGTTGTTGCTCCTAATTGGGATCTTAATTGGGTTCTTATAAAGGATAATGATAATGCACATGGCACTTGTGACAATGTAGATAACAAGTGTAAACAAACAAAGCGATAATTAGGCATCAAATAAGAATCTAATCCTTTAGAATCTCCTGATCTCAACCTAATTGAGACGATTTAGAGGATAATAAAGCAGAGATTGAAGAATCAAGGGCTAATTTAGAATGCAATAGAATTGCGCAGGGCTATCGAGGAGGAATGGGATAAAATTACCCTAGATGAGATCAATAAGGCAATTAGTACAATGCCAGAATGGGTAACTGCCGTAAGAGAGCGTGATGGTGTGCCTATACCATTTTGAAGATACGTAGAATTGATGGTGTTGGCGAGAAGTCTCAAGAATTTTGGCCCCTAGCTCCGGTCCAAGATATCCTCCCCGCATCCCTGGGCGCTCCCGCAGGTAACTTTCCTGTACGGAGGCGTGCATCAAAGTACTAAGCACTAAGTACTTCGTGGCATACAACTCCTGGCAGGATGTCTTGGTCCGCCGCGTCCACCAATGTCACGTGCCGTAACACCAAGCTCTGGCCTTGACGCTTACGTACTACGGCTACAGGCCTAAATAATGTACCCCCCCCCTGGTGAAAACGCTAGTATTCGTACAAATCAACTATACAGAATTGAGTATAGACGTCAATAAAATCGCCCAATTAGGACTAGTCTCTAAAATCGAGTTTGCATTCCTTCTACATCTATAACTGCTTGACATCTCTCTCGCATAGATCTAAGCAGCTCCACAAGATAGTCAGAAGGCACAGCATCCCATGCAGCATTAACAGCTGTACGTAGCTCATCATGCTTGTGTAGTGTATCTCTATAGTGCTCTTGTATCCAATCCTTCATCCAATTCCATACCATCTCAATTGGATTCAAATCTGGCGAATACGCAGGCCATTGAACGCATTAGATACCACGTTGACAAAGATCTCGAATAGTGCCCTTAGCAGCATGAGCAGGAGCAGAATCTTGCATAAACGTCAGATCTCCATTCGTACGTATCCAATTATCGATAATAGGGATGATATGCTCTTGATATGTTGCTTCTTTAATACTCCCTTATTCTTTCTCCCAAAATACACCAGGGCCCTTCTTATCACCATGAAAACAGCCCCAAAACATCCAACCTTTACGTCGTTGATAGCGTTCAACAATACATGTAGGGTCCCACTCCTCACTAGGTTGATGTGTAACGTACGTCTTTTTGTATGTTGATCCCTATTAACCCATGTTTTGTCACTCTATAGTATCTTTTCCTATTGTTCGTACGTCTAATTAACGTGTTTGTGAGCCTATTATAGACGCGCTTGTTGATTCTTCTTAGAAATAGGGGTTTATAATGAGCAACTTAACGTGAGAATCCTGCTCTTCGTAAAGCATTTCGAATAGCGTATCATCTAATATATTAATCTTTATAGCAAGAGGGATTTGTATCTATAGTGTACGTCGATTTGCTGTAGAAGAACAAACCCACGTAATAATTTGTTCAAGTTCTTTATTTAAAATTATTAAATGTCTGCCAGGGCACTTTTTAGGTGTTAATCAATTATGTATAACATATTTAATTTGACGTCGTGTAAGATTTGGTAGCTGCTGAAGAATTTCGTTATACGTATGCCCTGCGTCATGTAACGTTTGAATTTGCAAACGTTGATCTCGAGTAGTTTGAGAGGGATTCGAGGGATTCGAGGGATTCGAGGGATTCGAAGGAGGAGTAGAAGGAGGAGGAGGAGGAGGAGACATCGTAAAATTCGCAGTATTTGAACGTGTAGAATTTGTAGAATGCGCAGAATTCGAACGCGCAGAAATGCAATGAATTCGAACGTGCAGAATTCGTAGAATGCGTAGAATTCGAACGTGAATTCGAACGTGCAGAATTCGTGGTAGATAGCAATAGGGATGCTAGCAAGGGTGCGTATGTAAAGTGGGCGTTTTGTAACAAATTTTGACCAGGGGGGGGGTACATTATTTAGGCCTGTAGCCGTAGTAGTAAGCTTCTAATGCACTAATTAAGCTGACTGATAGATTGGCTGCCTAAAGGGCAGAAATTTTATATTGAGCTTCATTTAATTAACCCAGTCACATGTGTTAGAGGATGTAGCAAATAGCGTACGGAGATACCAATTGAATTTTTATTTAGTTACTCCTATCAAGAGGAGCATTTGCTCACACTAATAGCTATAGAAGCGCATTACTGCAACAGCTCAGAAACAGCATTTGGCGTTCAATTCGTATAACAATGCTCACTGCCATAAATAACAGGGCGTAAAAGTTACAAGAGCGTTTCGTGCGTTTCGCATGCGGGGACCCCTGTATCATCTCCTGCTAATACGTAACAGATACGTATCGTAAGCGCAGGGATTCTGACAGCATGATTTTGACCTGCACCAGTCGCGGAATGTCTGTACCTCTTATAAAGGAATCTGGAGCGGATTCCAAGCCTGCGGTGTCCGAATTATGGCAAGAAGCGATTGCTAGTCTCAATGAGAATGAAAGAGAGCAGGTTAACGCCTCTAATAAGTGGGAACAAGGAACTCTAGAAGACGTAAGCTGTAGTGGATTCAGGGGACAACCTCCGGGAGCCACTTATACAGTTATCATGCAACATTAGCGCTGATCGTGATCTCCCAGGTGCTTCGTGATGTACAAACGAAAGCGGATGATTGTACCAAGAAACGATGGAAGTTCGTTCTACACACACTACTTTTGCCATTGCGCGGCTTTCACAATAGGCTTTCTGTTCATTATTCTGACGACGTTATTCTGGAAGGTATCGTCGAACCACTGGCGAAAACATCATCCTGCGAGACGTTTTCGAGAAAATGGCAAAATGGGTTCGGAAATTCATCGAAGTCGGAGATTTTGCTGTAATCCCACACCGTTCTAGACCATGTTGAGTTGATTAAAGGGATTGACAGGTTACATACGACCCAACACATGCGGCCTTGCCTTGGGCAGGAGTTCGACTACTATTACAGGTACAGTGCCCAGCTCAGTGTTTCCTCAGTACTTAGTGGTTTGATGCATTTACTGTTAGATTGCCGTCAATGATCTTGATGTATACGGAGCAATGTTCGAGGGGCTGGAGAAAGTCTCTAGTCTGATTACTCGGTATGCAATCTTCGAGAATCTCTACCTTTTTGAGCCGCAAACGAGCACAAAGGAAGAGCTTAGGCGCATGTTGATAGGATTATATGCTCTTATCCTGCGTTATTTGCTACAGGCAAAACTGCATTACAGCCGGAGAACTGGTGGTACGTTGGTCTAAAATAACCTTCGCTCGAAGAGCTGACATTTCACGAGAACGGATGCTACGGAGCTCTTTCGAGACTGCTGAGATGGCCGTGGGAAAGTATTTTACTAGGATCTCCGAGGAGGAGAAGAGAGTCGAAGATATTGCTGTTCTAGTTGATGCGCAGTGTAAGCTATTTGCTTTCTGAGTCCACATGATATTTCTGATGATAAATAGACCAGAGAGACATAGCATCAAATGTCGCCAAAATAACCACGAAATCAGATCGCACCACTGAGAGTCTTCACCATTTGCGGGCAGAACAGCAGAGCAGGTTTGAAGCTGTTGAAAAAGAAATCAGCGCATTTAATCGGAAGCAGACCAGGACGACAGGTAAGTAGAAGGACCAAATCCAGGCTCTCTGATTCGAGAACCTCGATTGACAACAGCCAGATTTACAAAAGGATTTGCGGTCTATTCTTCAGGCTATGAGTGCGCCTATGGTAGCGTAACCTGGGCGTTGATGTCAACGTTCCCCTGAATTAGGATCACCTGCTGAGACATGGATGACCAGACGAGGCTAGCTAGTCAAGTTACGAATCTAGATACCAACTTGAAAGGTAAGATGAGATTCTGGTCATACTACCATGTTGAGTACATGATTTTGTTGTCCGATTCCTAAAGCGCCTATCCAGAAGCACAGCGAATCAAGTTACTTCAGTGGCTATCAAAAACGCCATATAGAAAGCATCACAAAGATTCTTTGAAAGATATCCTACCTAAATCTGGCGCTTGGTTACTGGCCAACCCGGATTTCGTGAATTGGAGACTTCAAGCTTCTCTTCCGTCCTCTGGCTACATGGCATTCGTGAGTGTCTCTTCCGCTGGAGAGTGCGCTCTTCCGCTAAGCTAATTGATTTAGCCGGCTCCGGAAAGAGCAAATTGATGTAGGATGTTCTCAATCTCGGACAAGAGGTATTCTAAGATCTGCTAGAACCACTATCATACGCGAGATGCTGTCTGAAAACGAGCACAATGGTGCAGCTGCACCTGTTGCATACTTTTATTGCGCACGCAATGCTGCAGAGCCCCTGAGGGCAGAGCCGGACGAGGTCGTGCGTGCACTCCTCAAACAATTAGTGCATTCCGAAGGGAGGAAACAGATATCCAGCTCGTTAGAAGACGCCTTTCTTACGCGACAGCGCGAAGCAGATGAGGATGGATGCGATCCGGCTTTGCTAAGTATTGATGAGTGCACACCTCTGATACTGAATTGGCTGCGAGACAACCCTGTGACTATTATCATAGATGCTTTGGATGAGTGTAGCCCGGTCCGTCGACATGAATTGCTGACTGCACTAGATACCATTGTTAGTCAAGCAGAGAATGTTGTCAAGGTTTTCGTATCGAGTAGGGATGACATTGATATCGTCCTCAGACTAGCTAATTCGCCAAACATCTCAATCAGAGCAAATGACAATGCGAAAGACATCATCACATATACCAATACAGAAGTAAGCCGAGCAATCCAAGAGCGCCGGTTACTCCTTGGTAATGTTTCTGATGAACTCCGACATAAGATTATTGACGCCTTGGTTGACGGAGCTCGAGGGATGTTTCGCTGGGTCGCTTTGTCGATTCAGCACCTGTGCGAAAATCTTCGTATGATCCTCGAAGATGATGTTAAGGAGGCCATCGGACGTCTTCCTGAGAGTCTTTCTGGGCTTTACCGAATCGTTTACGAGGAGGAGATCTTGCGTAGCGAACCAAGGGGTCGAGCAGTAGCTATCCGCGCATTACAGTGGTTGATGTGTGCGCTACAACCTCTAAATACAAGAAAATCTCTTGAAGCAGTATCCTCGGACTCCGCTGGTCAAGCAACGCATGCATCAAAGAATGACCTTATCGCTTTGCTTCGGAATTTGATTGTTGTTGATGAGGAAAGCGATGTCTTCCGTTTCACGCATTTGTCCGTTCGGGAATACTTGGAAACCAGAGACGAGTATTCCACAGAAAAATGCCATGCAGTAGCGGCTGCCCGATGCGCCTCTCTGAGCCTAAGCAACACAAGGAAAGGGAAGACCAGTGAGCAACCCGCGGAAGAAGACTTCGCCAGGTATTCAATTGTGTTTTGGCCGTTACACTACCAACACGGAAAACCTGATGCTGAACTCCAAGCGAGAATGAGAAATCTCTTCTTCCAGGACGACGGTATTGCTGACACGTTCCGCCTCTGGGTAAATGACTTCAAGAGTGTGCTTGCTGAAGACGAAAACTTGCTCGCACGCCTCATACCTTGTGAAGGTGGGGAGGAATTACTGGAACTCCTAGCTCTTAGCCCAACACCTCTGTTTCATTTCTGTTGTATCTTTGGGCAACTTCCGATCCTGGAAAGCTTGAAATCTGACGGATTCTCGGATTGGGACAGGGTGTGCCATCAGGGAATGACAGGTCTAGATGTAGCAATATGCTGTGAACAACAAGACACGGCTTGTTTGCTTCTACAGTATGGGGTCAGAGCTGGCTTTCGACCTCTGCAACAGAGGAGCCCCTTTGTTGCAGCTGCTCGCTTAGGTCAAAGTGAGGTGGTCAAGTTAATGCTCCTAGATGAAGATGTGAATGTTAATGCGCAGTCTCAGTGGGTGGAACGGACGCCTCTAGGAGCCGCAGCAGAACATGGACATTGGGAAGTAGTGCAGCTCTTATTGGCTAGAGGCGATTTGAATCTCAACGACCGGGACCGATATGGCGCAACAGCTTTGTACTATGCAGCCGCAAATGGACATACACGAATTGTACAAGGACTCTTACAAAGGGAAAACGTTGACTTCGTGTCAAAAAACAGCCAATTGCCGCCATCAACAGCCTTGTTAGAAGCTGCCAAAGGGAATGATTTCGTGGTCGTGCAACTTCTGCTTCAGAGGAGTCACACGCCCAACCTTCAAAGCAGCGACGGCAAGACGCTGCTTCATTGGACTGTCTCTGGGAAAATCGCGAAGGAGTAGACTTGCTTCTCCATTATGACGGGATCAACGTTAATACGAGAGATATCAGGGGAATTACTCCTTTGCTGTGTGCAATTCAGCTCGAATCAATTGAGATCGTCAAACTACTTTTGGCTCATCCAGCCATCGACGTAAACACGTCAAGTCCTGAAGGCAGATCCCCATTATGCCAGATGATCCATGACTCAGCATGCTTTGGACTTGCTGGAATGGACTGGTTCCACATTGGCAGTTCGCTGGTGCAACGTCTCGAGTTACAAGTAAACAAGCAAGATTTTCGTGGAAGAGCCCCACTTCACTACGCTGTCATTTCTGATCAGGCCGCATTCGTCGAGCTGCTGCTTACCCGAGGTGACATTGATCCCAACGTTCGAGACGATTACGATGCAACGCCGCTCTGGGAGGCTGCATACCAAGGGAACTCGGAGGCTTCGGAGTTTCTGGTTGACGACCCGCGGGTTGATGTCAATGCGGAGGATAAAAGAGGTCGGACGCCGCTTTCCATCGCGGCGACTTATGGGCACCTCGAGATCGTCGGCTGCTGCTCAAACACTCTGGTTTGAAAAATGATCATGTAGATGCCGAAAAACAAACGTGCTTGCACGCCGCTGCCGGCGGCCCTTCTCCTGAGGTCCTGCAATTGTTCCTGGACCGCAATGACGATGTCAACATCACCACCAGCCGAGGCCAAATACCGCTACATGTAGCGACTGAAAAATGCCGGCAAGGCTCGGTCGAGCTTCTTGTCACTCGCAAGGACGTTGATGTAAATAAGAGGGACACGCTTGGTAGATCTTCCTTATGGATCGCGTCCCATCTTGGAAAGAAAAGCATTGTCGAAGCCCTTACCAGGCGCGATGAACTCGATCTGAACGCGCCTGACGTTGAAGGCAACATCACCCTGCATATTGCAGCATTCTGGGGAAATAAGGACGTTTCCGAATTCCTCTCAAAGCAGGACAGGATCGACTTGGAATTGGTAAATTGTAGAGGAGAAACGTCACTGTGGATCCTAGTGTCAAGAAATTGGGTTCATCTTCTTGAGAATTTTTTAACGCAGGGAGGTCTCAAGATTCTGAATACACCAGATCACCTCTGCCAGACGCCACTCCATGTAGCCGTTCTACGTGGGAAATTGGATACTATAAAGTTACTGTTGAGGCAACCAGTCATCGAGCTAAAGCAGAAAAACAACCTGATACTCTCGCCCCTTGGTAGCGCTGTGCGAATACTGGCACAGAATACCGAAAACAAGTCCATGGCTGACGTGGTGAAGGTACTATTGCTAACCTTGGCCGGGCAGATAGATGTAGGCATTCATCACGTGATGGGTATTTTAGTTGATGGCGACCTTCACAGACAAACCGCCAGGTTTGTGAAGCTTTACGGACGAGAAGAGAACAAAGCAAGGAGAGTGCGTGAAACGGAGTCAGGATGGTTACGGATTTGGCTCGATCTCACGGATATAGATCCGCAAGCGCGCAACCATTGCGATCAGACACCGCTTCAAACGGCCGCCGCCAATGGCCTCGCCCAGATCGTGAGTCTTCTGCTTCTTTGCGAAGATGACGACATTGCTTCAACTACGATTGCGGCACATCCTCAGACCCCATTTTGCCTAGCAGCCCGTGCTGGCCACCAAGACGTGGTACGACTTCTTCTCAGGCGAAGCACCTTGAGGCCCGGCATGGAATGCAAGTGACTGGACGACGCCGCGGCTGCCGGACACATTGCGGTGGTGAGGGCGATTGAGAAGCACCTTTATTACCAGCATCGCCGCGAAATAAGCCTGGAAAGCATCGAGGCTGGACTGTTGTTGGTGGGTGGGGAGCCTCTGCGCGGTAGCGGTGGTCGGATGGCCGATCTAGGCTGCGATGATGTCGCTGCCTTGAACGATACTCCACTAGGAGCTATAAGAGGATGTTGCGGTCGTCGTGATGTTCGAAGGAGGAGGTCTATCTGCAGGGGATAGGCTTTTACAGTAAGTACGGGATAACAAGATTTCAAGGTTTAAGTAGTACTGACACCATCGCCATTACATTGTATCGGAAGTTTCAATACCGCCCATCCTCGCTCTAGTAAAATCGGATCGTATGTTGCTTTCAACTGCGTCATCTCGACTAAGATCTCATGCATGTTCTCATCGCACTTCATTCCATATAACTTTGGGGGTTATCAAAACGGTTCAAGGAGGCATGTTATGGTCAGTTTTGGAGGACGGGGACCGGTTTGGGGCCCTAAAGTCCATAAACTGGGCCCCTTGGGCATTGTTGTCTAAACTTGACGGGAAGAGGCATGACACGATGATGAGGCTACGATGTATGATTCGCTTGTAGGAGCGGAAGGAAAAGGTGACTGAGCAAGACCTGGGTGAGCAAGCTGCGCCGAGGATGAGCTGAGGTTGGATAGCGCCTGAGCAGAACGGCGATGCTTGTTAGACGGCCACGGCCTAACGGAAAAAGGCGAGAAAAAGAACGCAGAAAGGCGCAGAAAAGACGCTGGTTTGTGTAGTAGAAGTGTGTTAATTCTATCTATGTGTATTTGGCGTCTTTTGTACTGTCAATTGCTCCTATCCTTGGCGTATGCCACCCGCACAGCAGGCCCATAGCGCATGACAATGCTGATTAACCAGACGAAACTTCACTTAAAATAAATTATATGGGATAATACCTATATATCACATATCAAAAATGGCCAAGCATACTTTATACTAGCTTACAGAATATTCATTACTGTTTTAGTCTTTGTCAAAATTCTAATATGCACGAGGGGGTCGTCACTCTGGTTCAGACTGGTCTTCGAGCATTCGAGAATCTCAAGTGAAAATCCTCAAAATTCCCCTCTGAGCTTCATGTAAGTACCTGCTAGGCATTCTATCTTTCTCGTCTCACAATGATACAGGTTCACAACCTTTCAAACTCCCCATCCACTGGCTTCACGAAAGTGTCCGCAGGGCATTCCACATTTCCTTCAACCATCGAAAACGTGTATGCAATCCTGTTTTTGTCACTCTTGTTCGCCCCACTCTTATGCATCAGGTTTCCGTGAAATAGGACCAAGGTGCCCTTTTTCACCTCGAGGGCCTGATACTTGTACTCGGTTTGCTCAGTGTTGCTGCTGCTACTAGCATTGTGTGATGCCCTTGCCCAGAGTGGCTGAGCCACATCCACAAACTTCGGCAGCCCGTTCTCGCCCTTGACACATCGCTGTCTGAGTGGTGTGGTCAAATGTGACCCAGCCGCAACACAGAGACACCCATTCTCAATCGTGGTATCCTCCAGCGCATACCAAAACGTTAATGCGCTTGGTGGGTTTGTGAAACTGACACAACCGTCTTGATGAGGCACAATCTGACTTCCGACACCCGCGAGTTTGGCAATCAGTTGACTCTGTGTAATGCGGGCATCTTTGTACCCAAGGGAGTCGGCGATGGAGTGATTCAGTGCAGCATGGGTTAATGCGCGGAAAGTGGGCATCTTGTGGACGGCGCAGCCTAGGCGACCGACACGTCGCTTGAAGGGGTCGGAGGCTGTGTCGTCTCCTTGAGGTGGCTCATACATCAGTAAAATGGGACTCCACAAGCCTATACGGAAGACTTATCCCGGGTACTGACCTGGTTCAAATGTTGCGATAACGCGGCCAATAGGCGATGGGCATTCTGCTCCAGGATCTGAGACGTCATGCCTGATGATTCCTTTGCCGCCTTCGGCTATACGCTTCATGATATCGCGAGATTCATTGAGCAGTGCCGTGGCTTGATCAACTGTCAGAACATCTGGGAGGACGAGATACCCCTTGCTGTCGAAAGTTTCGCGTTGCGCCTGCGTCAGGCCTTGAGGGTGTTTGCCCTCACTGTGTAGACGAAGAACGCCTACCTCAGTGGCTTCATCTACATTATGCGATTCAAAGACATCAGCAGAAGTTTGAATTGCGATATGCCTGATACGTGAAATTGGTAGGAAAGCGAAAAGGCTGTGGGTTCAGAGTCCGTAAAGTAGTACAGCAATTAAGACAGGACATCGACATAGCTTGATTGTAGTAGGTAAAGTTGGGGTAGCAGGAGCTGAAGGTAAGAAGCGAACAGGAATGCTCCAATGATAGGATTTCCACGAGCCGAGCAAGGAAGCAGCCCTTGCCGTGATATTGATGTGCACTTACCGTGCAGATAACTTGCCTCTACAACTCGTTCATGGACACCAACTGTGCCGGGTATAGCAACGTTCTTATAATTGTTATCATCGTGCAGATAACTTGCCTCTACAACTTGTTCATGGATACCAACTGTGCCGGGTATAGCAACTTTCTTATCATTATTATTGTGGCTGGCCTCAATTGAATCTAGTAAGAGAAGTTAGTGTTTAGTATTTTCAGACATTCTGCGAGTACTTTGAATGAGGCAAAGGGTTTGCTGAAGCACAGAAAGCGGAGCACTGGGTTGGGCTCCAAGGGTGCAGCCATGTTTGGGAAGAGAGAAGTAGACGTATTGATCAGTGTTCAACGATATAGCTGTAACTGCAGTGCTGTAGACAAGAGACGCAGTCGATCATGTACAATGACAAGGCTCTGTGCTCAGTATAAAGATAATCGATATCGACGATTTGTTCATCGGCAAATAGAGCGCTAATGATAGGATGTGGTTGGGCAGAATTGTTAGTGTTTTGATTTTTCAACGGGAGAGTGAGAAGAGCTCTAAGGGCAAGGTCTCCAGAAAATGTTGCTTTAACGTGCTGGGATCTTCTGAGACAGTATGTGATATAGAGACAATGCGACAAGCCTTTGTGAAATTAAATTGCATAGCTTGATGATAAAGACAAGAAATACATAACAAACAGATGCAATCTTGATGTTTTGTGCTTACCATCAAGCAAATCAACCTCAGCAAGTTGATTATTGGCAACCACAGTGCCAGCGGTGGGGGGGTTCTGTGCTTGTGCTTTTGCTTGTTCGTTATTGTTATTATTCCCCATCAGGAGGGTTAGAAGAAGAGGTGCATGGGCAAGATATTCAGGCATCTTCAGATTGGTTGTGATATGGTCTGATGTTGATAAAGGAGAGTGATACAAATCACTTATAATCTCAATAAAATGGGTTGTGCCCACCATAAGGATGAGGAGAAGAGCTGCGTGGCTGACGTGTTCAGGCATCATTGGTGAAAGGTGTATGCCTGCAGCTAAGATTGCTATCACAGACTCCAGTCACACAAAGAAAGGCTAAAATGAGGTGGTAGAACGGAAGTCGTTTAGATCGTTTGATGGCTGAAGGCTGCTGTGTAACAATCTGCAGGAAGTGTGTAGAAAGCAACATGTTCTATCTAAATAAGGAGCAGCATGCGTAGATATACGTACAAATTGGCTCTACGTATACAGTAGCAGAAATAGCCGCGAAATTTGCAGTAGAAACTGACTAATCAAGACGCAAGCAAAACGGAGACAAACGCAGCAAAACTAGTCAACAGGTGCTCAAACCGTTCGCCAGCTACTTTTAAGTCAGGTGGGAATAATGCATAACAGTAGATTGGACTGCATTGATGCTGCATGTGCAAGTAAGCCCAGACCATGCAGCCCGTAAGCCCAGAACATGTAGCTCAGCAGTCCAGGCCAGAAAGCACTTCAGATACCAGGATAGACGGCAGAAAGTTGCGGGATGTTTAATGCAAACAATGAACGTCGAAACTCGGTTGACTTGGCAGATTAACTCGTTAACAAAAGTTGTCTGTACGAACAGATACGAAGATATGCGGATAGCGTAATGCTGATTTGATACATGATGAAGATGTGAGCGATTTATGCACTGCATGTTTTATATTAGAGCTGTCTTGTAGCGCTTTTTGATAGGGCGAAAAGTTGAATAGCACGCTTAGTTCGGTTACTCTGAAATATAGCGGATACAGGCCCTGTGGCTGGCGTTTTATAGTTTCTAGCTATCTCTAAGGGGGTATAGATCGTGTATAGCAGACTCTGATTGTTTGTCAGGCTTACTAGAGATGACAGCTCTCTACTTGCTATGCGCTTATTTTGCTACGTGTGTCACCAGCGTTTTGTTACAGATTTGATACGCGTTTTGCATCAGCCACGCATGTATTTTTGGTATCTGCGTTTCGCGCTATTTCGCTTGATATAGCAACTTTGTACGTATAAATGCGCGCTCCTCGCACTGAATTAGATAGAACAACTTGCTATTTCCACACTGATCCATTGATTAGTCAGCACAGTTCGTCAGCTAATAACATATCGGCGATAGACTAGTTCAAATAGTGTAACGCTAGTAGCTAGTTAAATGGCAGTATGCCACCAGCTACAATCAATTAGACTTACTGTGGACCGGATGTCACGTGATATATAGCGCTGCAACAAACGCTACTGGATTCTGCGCGTCTTCGATGAATTGCTGGTTATCAAACGGTGGCGTATTGTGCGACGTTTTAAATGCGTTTTATCACAGATTTGTTACGCGTTTCGCCTCGAATTAACATGTATTTTTAGTATTGACGTTTCGCGCTATTTCGCATGGATTGGCAGTTTGATATGGCAATTTGGTATGTATAAATAGGCTCTCCTTGCGCGGTCAATTAGAGAGAACAACTTGCTATTCAGATTCTATTCTCCTGATTAGTCAGCAACGTTCGACACTTACATACAACTTTAGTTCGAGAGGTCTCATTCTACTATTAAGCAATGGCTTAATATTTTTGCACTTATATTGTTTATGTAAACTTTTGTACGAGTGATTTTCAGTTGATCAGCTTTATTATTACAAAAACGTAGTAATATAGAAAACGCTGAGTCAGATCAAAGCTAATTAGACTGTGTGGCGCTATATCATAATTAGTCGTTACTAATACTAGCCTAACAATATTTATGCCACCCCCTGTAGTACATAATTTCCGGTCTTCTGTACGCAGATTTCAAACATTTGGGTGCTGCATATAGTTGAGATAGTGAAGGCAGCATGCCAGGGAGGTTCCCCTCTTTCGATAAGAGTGAGACAAACCCCTTGAATCATCTTTCCTGCTGGCTATAAGTCTCTGTCTTTTGTTCTGTTCGACTCTTACAGAAGTATAACCCTACGCTCTAAAACCCTCCTTCCACTGGCGACGTGTCCATCACCGTGGCAAAATGGCTGCAGCTGACAAGCATGATGATCACGACTACGTGGTTGCCCGGCAGAAGAGATACATTGAGGCATGGGAGTCTGGCTCGCCGGAAAGGATCATGGAATTCATGGACCCACAAGAACTCAGCTACTCAAATTTCGGTCAGCAACGAAGATCTCTGACATCTCCCCCTACTTCTAACCATTTAGTCTACAGGGACAGAGAAGGAAAACCTATCGCGTTCCACCGTCAAAGACATATTCGCCAAAAATAAAACAGACTTCTATGACGTGAAGATCAAGACACGCTCGATCCAAGGGCACAAAAGTTTCACAGCTTGGGAATGGGTCATGACATGTAAAGCCGGGCTGGGTCCTGATGGTAAAATGTTGCCAAAGGAGAAAGCACCGCCGTTGAAAATAAGCGGATGTACACTGATGTGGTGGAACAAACACAATAAAATCATCAAGCACCATGACTATACGCAGGTAAAGAACGAATCAGAATGATAAACACCCCTTGCCACTTGAAAGTCAGTGGCACATCTCTAAGTCACATCACTTTTTTGCAAGTGATCGCGTTATAATCTTATGTAGAACTCAAAAATACAGTTTGCGCTTATTTTGCTACGTGTGTCACTAGCGTTTTGTTACAGAATTGATACGCGTTTTGAACTAATCCCACATGTATTTTTGGTATCTGCGTTTCGCGCTATTTCGCTTGAGATAGCAACTTTGTACGTATAAATACGTCCTCCTCACACTGAATATTAGGGCTCAACTGGTTAAGACAAGTCTCAACGAGAAGCTGGGTCCAAAGGGTTGGTTAGGTAGAACAGGAAGTGCAGTGAACAATACTAAGATGTCTTCAACTTAGGTATGAGCTGATAACATGAGTTGACTACGGAGACTATGAAACTATCTAGGAAATGAGCGTGCTTATATAGGCTAGGAAATTCGTGCTTATGGCTGCTCATTTATAAGCGCTCGTGAGCGTTGCTTATCAGTCCCCTCTTATGAACACCCTGCTCAAGGTTGTCTCTGTATAAGCGTGTCTTTTCGCTAAGCTCCTTAGGCTTGGTGTTAGGCCGCGCCAAGCCTGCCAAGCCTGCCAAGGCTATGCCCTATATCACGGATCTCTGCTTGCTGAGAGAACTCTGTTCTTCAGCTTGCAGCTTCTGTCTTTGGAGCACCCTGCGATTAGCTGCCATATCGCCCGCGATAACCCTTATATATCTCTTGTGTCGGCTATTGCCTCCTCCTTTAGCATCGTGAGGTGTTCCCTCTGTGACAATTCTGCAAGCTATACCCTTGGAGCAGCTCGATAGCAACACATACGTGTAGCCCCTTTTTCGTAAACGACCTCTGAACCTTTTGCGAGTCGTACGTGACTCGTACCTGAACCGCATACAATGCCTCCTCGCTGTGAACGCTAGCATACTAAAGGTGCTGACCCCCCTGCTAGGCCTCTGACGGCTCAGCCTTAAGAGGAGGATATTGTTGCTCAACAGTTAGAGCGTTGTTAAGCAGAGCTACTGTCAGCGGAAGACGGAGTTCTCCGACCACCGCAACTGTTCGCCACGCGCTATCACTCAGAAACGCATACACTCACAAATGCTGCAGTTAGCATTGCAACGCTGATTTATGATCTCCTTCTAGGTGATTCTATAGCTTGCCTCTTCTATGCGTATATATAGCGGTCATCCTACTCCTCAGGAGTTGGGATAGCAACTCAATCAATTCAATTGAACCCTCTCTCTCTTGATACTGCTTAGTATCTCCGTACGCTATTTGCTGCATACTTCTAACAGCTACTACAGAAAAGGCAGCTTAAGAGTATTTAAGAAATCAAGTAAGAGCTCACAGACAGCCTACGTGCGTTAAGCATAGCTGTAATAGGCAAAGATTTTAGCGCTTCACTTATAAGTTATAAGCGAGTCGCCTTTACTAAATTAAGTCACAATATAAAACGCGCCCTTATATTACTTATTTATAAAGGGCTTAGCCTTTGTAAATTATATAATTTTCTTCTTTATTATAATATTTATTTTAATATAATTAAAGAGTATATAATTTATAAACAAATTATAATTATTATATTATATATTTATAATAATGCTTTATATTAGTAAAGCTAGCTTATAATAAAGCTAATAATATAACTAGTATTTAAGTTAGTCTTATAAGACATAATATAAGACCTTATAAATTATATAAGTAATATAATACTTAAGCTAAAAAAGACAAGACAAAGTAAGAGATAATTAGTTTATAATTTTGTAAACTAGATTAAGAAGATTAAAGAGGACATCCCTAAGATGTTATATAAAGAAAGTTATATATAATTATTATTAAATGGCCTGAGAAGAGAAGTCTGTAATAAAGTACTATATAAGGAGCATAAGATTTGCACGTGAGAGCAGATGATAGCTGCTGCTTAACGAATTCATGAGTTAGGCATAGACACAGATGTATTATATATATTTCGTAGTCAGGACTACAGAGAATCTGTAAAGGGTGACTTAAAGAAGGGCGAAGGCTTAGATAACAGAAAGTGTTACGAATATAGTTAGTTAGGCTATATAGTAAGAAACTGCTTAAAGAAGAAAAGCTCTGTATAAGCTTAATTAGGATTCTGTGTAAGCCTAATACGTAGATTCTATATAAGCTACAAGTCGCTTATATATAGCTTGTGAAGTAAAGATAAAGTATATTAAGAGACATATACACAGGATATATAAGATATAAGTCTATTAGACTAGACCTTAAACTTAAGTTTTAAAGCGTATTAAAAAACACGTGTATAAAGTATATAAGATATAGATCTATTAGACTAGACCTTAAATATAAGTTTTAAAGTATATTAAAAAATATATATATAAGATATATAAGATATAAGTCTATTAAATTAGACTTAAAA